AGTCGAAATCCTGAATCAGCTGGCATCATTTTTATGGATATATACAAAGAAATGTAAATTGAAAAAAGGTCAAACGAAACAAAGTGCAGCTAGTTTGCAGTCTTTCCAGCTTCAGTTTGAAGTGATTGCGTTAGCTATGTTGTTGGCTAGCTTCTCTGAACAACAGTGTCCTGACGAGTGAGCACATTCGTGTCCTCGTCTCGGGCCTAACAACACCCGTGCCAATATATCCTCCAAACACCGGCTTATCAAGCATTATCACTTAAGTAGGATGGGACATAAGCCTAACAACTTCAATGACTAATTTCTCTGAACAGGGAGAAAAAAACACTCAATTCACTGAGAATACATTACATAGGATGAAGAAAAAATACTCTGAGCCACAGCTCCATACTACTTGTCAGACATAGAGAACTGATACTGTATACTCGTTGCTAGGGTGGGATTAGCATGGGGTGTGGGGACTCCGTGGGTGATACTGCATACTCGTTGTTAGGGTGGGATTGGCGTGGGGTGTGGGAGGTCCGTGGGTGGCTTTTGACAATTTCTCTGGATTCCTCATCTTACTCATTGTTAGAAAAAAGCTTAGTCCAAATCGGATATTAGGTACTATATTTTTTGAATATTATATGAATCCTATAAATTAAAATGGCCAATTTGGGTGCAATCAATTAGCTTAATTTCTCAGAGATCAAATTATATTTCATCAAAATAATGTTGGAGGAATGCTAATCTTATCTGTTTCTAACTTCAGAAATGATTTCAGAACAATCTGAGATGGTGGGTGTCATGGCTTGCTGAAATTACATTGAACAACACAAGGGTGAGTCAGTTATTGGGACTGTGTGTGATGGACTCTGATGCAGTGACTGTGTGTATCACCTGATAATGCAGGGGTGGGAAATAAACTAGTCTCGAGGTCCACATCAGGATTTCAAAATTCAGCGAAGGGCCGCACAGATTTCAAAATTCAGCAAAGGGCCGCACAGATTTTATGGGGGCCGATTTGTTCGTCAAAAGCAATTTGCGGGCCAGAAAAAGGGCAGTTATTTGAAAACGTATATGTCCATTATAATTTCTACATACTTTTTATCTAGTTTTAGATGTTCAAGAGTGGCCTGGAGTGTTTTTTCTAACCCAAAATAATAATCCCCCCCATTTACTCAAACCTCCCCCGGATCCAGACTGCAAACTCATTCAATCTGGCCCACGGGCCGTATGTTGCCCACCCCTGTGATAAGGCCATTACTCTGGCGCCTACGGGGCCATGGGATCCCTGGTATTGTGTATTGGAGGAGCAGCAAAATTCATTTCCATTGCTGCCATACTGTGCTGTGTGGTCTAACTTAGCTGCACCCAGCCCAGACGATAAGGCTGAGGGAGAGGTTGAGGGAGAAGGGGAGGGGGAGAGAGGGGCGGGCACATAGCTGGAATTAATAGCATCTCAGCACTGGAGCCAAAAAATTATGCCCGGGCTGAAGCCAGTCTAAATGACGTGCCCACACTGCTCTGAGCCTAATTTGGCTCTTACACATATTCACTGTAGAGAGGAGACTGCAGACAGGAATTTCAACCCTGACAAAAAGGAGAGACACTCTGTTTGAACTTCAAAGCTGCCGCTGTTTGAGAACAGAAAATGAATGGGATCATCACTGGTGGACAAAGCCTCAACCTCAACCAATTTCAAGGACTTTCTATTGACAAGACAGAAGCACATTGAACCTCTGCTAATAATATCTGTCAATATTCAGACCCTGAATCATATTACTTCTCAGGTTCAAAAAATTGTCTGGTCACTGGATGCATATACAGTGCCTTCAGAAAGTATTCATAGCCCTAGACTTATTCCACATTTTGTTGTGTTACAGCCTGAATTCAAAATGGATTTCAATTTCAATTCACCCATTACACAATACCCCTTAATGAGAAAGTGAAAACATGTTTTTAGAAATGTTAACAAATTGATTGAAAATGAAATACAGAAATATCTCATTTACGTAAGTAGTCACACCCCTGAGTCCAATCATGTTAGAATCACCTTCGGCAGTGATTACAGCTGTGAGTCTTTCTGGGTAAGTCTCTAAGAGCTTTGCACACCTGGATTGTACAATATTTACACATTATAATTTTTTTTATTCTTCAAGCTCTGTCAAGTTGGTTGTTGATCATTGCTAGACAGCCATTTTTAAGTCTTGCCATAGATTTTCACGCCGATTTAAGTCAAAACTGTAACTAGGCCACTCAGGAACATTCAATGTCGTCTTGGTAAACTAGTGTACAGTGGGGGAAAAAAGTATTTAGTCAGCCACCAATTGTGCAAGTTCTCCCACTTAAAAAGATGAGAGAGGCCTGTAATTTTCATCATAGGTACACGTCAACTATGACAGACAAATTGAGAAAAGAAAATCCAGAAAATCACATTGTAGGATTTTTTATGAATTTATTTGCAAATTATGGTGGAAAATAAGTATTTGGTCACCTACAAACAAGCAAGATTTCTGGCTCTCACAGACCTGTAACTTCTTCTTTAAGAGGCTCCTCTGTCCTCCACTCGTTACCTGTATTAATGGCACCTGTTTGAACTTGTTATCAGTATAAAAGACACCTGTCCACAACCTCAAACAGTCACACTCCAAACTCCACTATGGCCAAGACCAAAGAGCTGTCAAAGGACACCAGAAACAAAATTGTAGACCTGCACCAGGCTGGGAAGACTGAATCTGCAATAGGTAAGCAGCTTGGTTTGAAGAAATCAACTGTGGGAGCAATTATTAGGAAATGGAAGACATACAAGACCACTGATAATCTCCCTCGATCTGGGGCTCCACGCAAGATCTCACCCCGTGGGGTCAAAATGATCACAAGAACGGTGAGTAAAAATCCCAGAACCACACAGGGGGACCTAGTGAATGACCTGCAGAGAGCTGGGACCAAAGTAACAAAGCCTACCATCAGTAACACACTACGCCGCCAGGGACTCAAATCCTGCAGTGCCAGACGTGTCCCCCTGCTTAAGCCAGTACATGTCCAGGCCCGTCTGAAGTTTGCAAGAGTGCATTTGGATCATCCAGAAGAGGATTGGGAGAATGTCATATGGTCAGATGAAACCAAAATATAACTTTTTGGTAAAAACTCAACTCGTCGTGTTTGGAGGACAATGAATGCTGAGTTGCATCCAAAGAACACCATACCTACTGTGAAGCATGGGGGTGGAAACATCATGCTTTGGGGCTGTTTTTCTGCAAAGGGACCAGGACGACTGATCCGTGTAAAGGAAAGAATGAATGGGGCCATGTATCGTGAGATTTTGAGTGAAAACCTCCTTCCATCAGCAAGGGCATTGAAGATGAAACGTGGCTGGGTCTTTCAGCATGACAATGATCCCAAACACACCGCCCGGGCAACGAAGGAGGGGCTTCGTAAGAAGCATTTCAAGGTCCTGGAGTGGCCTAGCCAGTCTCCAGATCTCAACCCCATAGAAAATCTTTGGAGGGAGTTGAAAGTCTGTGTTGCCCAGCGACAGCCCCAAAACATCACTGCTCTAGAGGAGATCTGCATGGAGGAATGGGCCAAAATACCAGCAACAGTGTGTGAAAACCTTGTGAAGACTTACAGAAAACGTTTGACCTGTGTCATTGCCAACAAAGGGTATATAACAAAGTATTGAGAAACTTTTGTTATTGACCAAATACTTATTTTCCACCATAATTTGCAAATAAATTCATTGAAAATCCTACAATGTGATTTTCTGGATTTATTTTTCTCATTTTGTCTGTCATAGTTGACGTGTACCTATGAGGAAAATTACAGGCCTCTCTCATCTTTTTAAGTGGTAGAACTTGCACAATTGGTGGCTGACTAAATACTTTTTTCCCCCACTGTATACTTGGCCTTGTGTTTTAGGTTATTGTCCTGTTGAAAGGTGAATTTGTCTCCCAGTGTCTGTTGGACTGAACCAGGTTTTCTTCTAGGATTTTGCCTGTGCTTAGCTCTATTCCATTTATTTTTATCCTAAAAAACTCCCTAGTCCTTGCCGATGACAAGTATACCCATAACGTGATGCAGCAACCACCATGCTTGAAAATATGAATAATGGTACTCAGTGATGTGTTGTGTTGGATTTGACCCAAACATAACGCTTTGTATTCAGGACATAAAGTTCATTTCTTTGCCACATTCTTTGCAGTTTTACTTTAGTGCCTTATTGCAAACAGGATGCATGTTTTGGAATATTTGTATTCTGGTACAGGGTTTCTTCTTTTAACTCTGTCATTTAGGTTAGTGTTGTGGAGTAACTACAACGTTGTTGATCCATCCTTAGTTTTCTCCTATCACAGCCATTAAACTCTATAACTGTTTTAAAGTCACCATTGGCCTCATGGTGAAATCCCCTGAGCGCTTTCCTTCATCTCCGGCAACTGAGTTAGGAAGGACGCCGGTATCTTTGTAGTGACAAAGTGTAATTAATAACTTCACGATGCTCAAAGGGATATTCAATGTCTGCTTTTTTAAACTTTTACCCTTCTACCAATCGGTGCCCTTCTTTGCGAGGAATTGGAAAACCTCCCGGGTCTTTGTGGTTGAATCTGTGTTTGAAATTCACTGCTCGACTGAGGGACCTTACAGATAATTTTATGTGTAGGATACAGAGATGCACTATTATTGTACACAGAGTGAGTCCATGCAACAAAGGGGTTGAATACTTATTGACTGAAGACATTTCAGCTTTTCATTTGTAATAATTTGTAAAAAAATTAAAAAACATATTTCCACTTTTACATGATGGGATATTGTGTGTAGGCCAGTGACACAAAATTTCAATTTAATCTATTTTAGGCTGGAAAAAGTCAAGGGGTGTGAATACTTTCTGAAGGCACTGTAAATAGCTGTGTCCTTTTAAATCTCTCACTTCACAAAATAAAATGTATTCAGCTAAATTTCAGATTGAAAGCAATAAGGTAGCCCTCGACTTTTTTGAGGATTATAGACTCATTGCCATATTAAGGTAATGATGATGCTGTACCTCTGGGGTTGTTGAGGGAGGCCTCAGTGGCTTTGCCCCCATCTCCACAGTGGCCCTGGTCGAAGGGGGTGCACTGGTCCCCAGTCCCTGCCACCACCTCCATGTTCTTGGCCAGGTCCTTTGGCTCCGTGAGGGTCCTGAGTCTGTAGACCCTCCTGCTGCTGGTGTCAGACAGGTAAAGGATCTCCCTTACTGGGTCCATGGCCAAGTAGTACTTATGGGCTGGGCTGGTGCTGAAAGGAAAAGACTTGTGAGCAAAACATTACCCAGTCACTTAGGTCTACAGTACCAAAAACATGAACAATGTACTGTTTGTATGACGTACACATATACAGTACTGAGCAATCTTCAAAGAGCTGGCTTTTATCACTAAACACCAGTTCAGTTGCCTCCGACAGTCTTTCATATTAAATGGTTGCTCAAGAGGAACCACGTCATCAGCTCAGACATTAACATCTTGCTGACGTGAAACAAACATCTGCCAACCACAGACAGACTCAATCTTTTCATCAGAAGTTATTATTAAAATCCTTACAGCGCTAATTCTGACAGCTGTATCACCTTTACAGTTGATTCACTGCAACTGAAAGGGGACTGAAATAATGACAAAATGATGGAGGCAACCTAAGTGCCTGTGTAATGTGAGCCTGTAAATATTAAGCTATGATTATAGATGCTGATTCGGAGAGGAACATTACTCATCTCAGGCTTTAGCTGAATGTGCCATCCCATAGAAGCAGTGAAGAAAAAAAGCACAGCTAGTTCAGTGATTTTTTTTACAGGCTTTGATTGAGAAAGAATCAATTGCGAACATGACAGCTGCTTGAAACGATGAATCATATCTCTGGGAGAGATGAGAGCCTGTTCGTTCGGGGGAGAGAGAATGAGAAGCCTATCCCAACACAACAGTGTTACACTGGCCTTCAGCGGGGCGCTCAACCATCTAAACACACATGAAAGGCTGGGGCTTGTCTATGATAAGAGGCACCCTTTAAAGACCTCGCCTCGTTTGTATTTCTCTCCAAAGATAGCCCCATTTCTGATCCCTGCTACTTTTAAATCCAGGTCAATATACTTCCATATTGACTGACTCTCCTCGCTTCTTATCCTGTATTCTGTAACCAAATGAGAGCATCTTCTTTCATCCATGAAAGGGAGGCTGGCAGTTTGCAACTGAAGCACCGCTCTCTTCATGCAGCAGTGTCATAAAAAACAGTTTTGAGGAAAATACATTATGTTCTGAGTCTGACTGAATACGGTATTGAAAACGTACCTGTGCCTGATATCTCGATTCCTAGCAGCGTTGTATTAATGAGATAGAAAGACAGTATTAGTTCTGATCCTTGGAGAAGTGTCTGCTCTTCGATCCATGATTACAATTATGAAAGCATTTCAATGAAACTTCTCTGTTCAATTTGTGTGCACAACAGATTACTTATTTTCTAATATTTTTCCATTTCATCTTGAAAATTGAACAATCATAACAACAATAGCAAAATATTTTGGCAACTAGCACTACATCAACTTTTATTATACTGTATATGTCGAATGCTTCAACCTCAAATAGTGCTTGACATAATGTACAAATACAGTTGAAGTCGGAAGTTCACATACACCTTAGCCAAATACATTTAAACTCAGTTTTTCACAATTCCTGACATTTAATCCTAGTAAAAATTCCCTGTCTTATGTCAGAATAACTTCTTTCATCACATACCCAGTGGGTCAGAAGTTTACATACACTCAATTAGTATTTGGTAGCGTTGCCTTTAAATTGTTTAACTTGGGTCAAACGTTTCGGGTAGCCTTCCACAAGCTTCCCACAATAAGTTGGGTGAATTTTGGCTCATTCCTCTTGACAGAGCAGGTGTAACTGAGTCAGGTTTGTAGGCCTCCTTGCTCGCACACGCTTTTTCAGTTCACGCTTTGTGATGGCCACTCCAATGCCTTGACTTTGTTGTCCTTAAGCCATTTTGCCACAACTTTGGAAGTATGCTTGGGGTCATTGTCCATTTGGAAGACCCATTTGCAACCAAGCTTTAACTTCCTGACTGATGTCTTGAGATGTCTCTTCAATATATCCATATAATTTTCCTTCCTCATGATGCCATCTATTTTGTGAAGTGCACCAGTCCCTCCTGCAGCAAAGCACCCCCACAGCATGATGCTGCCACCACCTGCTTCACGGTTGGGATGGTGTTCTTCGGCTTGCAAGCAACCCCCTTTTCCCTCCAAACATAACGATGGTCATTCTGGCCAAACAGTTGTATTTTTGTTTCATTAGACCAGGGGACATTTCTCCAAAAAGTACGATCTTTGTCCCCATGTGCAGTTGCAAACCGGTTTTGGAGCAGTGGCTTCTTCCTTGCTTAGCGGCCTTTCAGGTTATGTCGATATAGGACTCGTTTTACTGTGGATATAGATACTTTTGTACCTGTTTCCTCCAGCATCTTCACAAGGTCCTTCGCTGTTGTTCTGGGATTGATTTGCATTTTTCGCACCAAAGTACTTTCATCTCTAGGAGACAGAACACGTCTCCTTCCTGAGCGGTATGACGGCTGCGTGGTCCCATGGTGTATATACTTGCGTACTATTGTTTGTACAGATGAACGTGGTACCTTCAGGCATTTGGAAATTGCTCCCAAGGATGAAACAGACTTGTGGAGGTCTACAATTGTTTTTCTGAGGTCTTGGCTGATTTATTTTGAGTTTGAAGGTAGGCCTTGAAATACATCCACAGGTACACCTCCAATTGACTCAAATTATGTAAATTAGCCTATCAGAAGCTTCTAATGCCATGACATCATTTTCTGGAATTTTCCAAGCTGTTTAAAGGCACAGTCAACTTAGTGTATGTAAACTTCTGACCCACTGGAATTGTGATACAGTGAATTATAAGTGAAATAATCTGTCTGTAAACAATTGTTGGAAAAATTACTTGTGTCATGCACAAAGTAGATGTCCTAACCAACTTGCCAAAAGTATAGTTTGTTAACAAGAAATGTGTGGAGTGGTTGAAAAACGAGTTTTAATGACTCCAACCTAAGTGTATGTAAACTTCCGACTTCAACTGTACATAATCACAGAAAAACACTGAAATTCTAATAGTTCACCTAATTTCAGTTTATGTGACAAAACAAGGAAGTATAGTGTAGAGAATAACTTTACCATCTAAACCGCTGTGAAATATAAAGAATAGAAATAGCGCACATAGAACATATCTACCACTTCTTAGACTTGCTTTCAATGAGAATGACATATCTAGAACACATATTTCTATGTGAATTTGGTTGAGTTGCCCAAAAAGTTACATATTGCTGCTTTAACTGTTAGTCTTAAAGTGTCACCTCAGTTCTAGAATGCTAATAGCAAATCCATTGGGTAGAATCCTTCTGATGAAGTTGAAGTCGCCAATGTAGATGCTGCCGTCGGAGCCACAAGTGATAGCGACAGGAGCGTAGAGCTTGCTGCCCAGGGCAAGGCCGTTACAGTTGGGGCAGGGGATGGTGCGCACATACCCCGTCCCCATCACTGTGTGGATGACTGGCGGTTGCTGGGAGATGAAGATGTTCTCTCCATTCCCTTTGTGTAGGACACCTGGAGTTTAAGGACAACTAGCAATTATAATCCAATCCAGTCCTTCCTAGAATCTTCAAAGTTCAACAAGACCAAGAATAATGCATTGTACTAGTCTATATCAAGTCATTTTAAATGGAAGTAAAAACAATGATAGTTTGGCAAGAATGTCTTCACAATATTCCTACTGGATAACCAGGTATGAAATAGTGTCAGGTCAGGTAGGCTTAGGGTAAAGTACTGTTGAATGGAATTGTGATACAGAGGAACAGGCAGAGCCCTCACCGCTTTGGAGGTTAAGGATGTGGTGCTTGTCCAGGGACCAGCCCCCTAGGTTGGAGGCAATCATCTCAAAGCCCTGCAGCTGAGCCATCCTTCTCTCCCACACAATGTAGTCAGCACATGACTCATACTCATAGCCTACAGAGACTGGAACACAATAGACCACTTGGCCGTTAATGTGACGCCGCCAATGCATTCATTACACTGTTGTTATTGCATGTACTACACTGTTGTTATTGCATTTACAATGAGACATACCTGGAAAACAACAACCCCTAATGCTTTTATGATGGTGCGGCTAGCTTCTGCACAGTGTACAATTGCTTGAATCTAGAGTTGCTGTGGTCAAGGCAGAGGCTGGAACGATGCAGCACAGTGATTATAGCGGAGCCTGGATGTGCTAACAGTCTGCGAGTCTCCGGAGCCTTTTTAATGCATCACTGATACCATCATGCTCTGCTGCATCCACCCAGTATGTGTGCACGCTCACACAATTTTTGTCGCTCTGTCTTGCTGTCTTGCTCTCTCTCTCTTCCTCTCTCACCCACACAAACACATGCGAAGGAAGCACACACAAACACACACACACAACAAGCAGGACATAGTCAGTTACACAGAGTAGCTACAGGCTCCTGCCTGTCTCACCATGATAGATCAGCCTGTTACTATTGGCAACGGAGAGAGGGATGGTGAGGAGGAAGGAGGGAGAGAAAGCGTGAGCGAGAGATAGAAAGTATGAGGTTTGAGGTTGAGCTCAATTCCCACTGGTACATAAAGATAAATGAATAAATTAGAGCCTGTCTCATTTCCTTATCTCTTCTTCTGGTTTCGTGTGGATGAAAATATGTTTGCCCCATAACAAAATATGTGTTTTGAATTTCAATTTAGTTTGGATGTTGTTTCTAATTGTGCCATGTGTTCGGTCTGTAACGTATCACAGACTATTAACCACAGTGCATCATATCCACCATCAAGGAGCTGAATACACACAAATTAACCGTGCATTCAGTGAGAAAGGATTCCAATGCATGCACACCAGCCAGGCAATCAAGAAACTCTCTGGTATCTGATAGTAATACATGGAGCAATCAAGAGAGACATGCTCATAGTGTGTGAAAGAGATAAGAGTGCCCAGCTAGCACATAATGTTCTAAGAACTACAGTGGGGAGAACAAGTATTTGATACACTGCCGATTTTGCAGGTTTTCCTACTTACAAAGCATTTAGAGGTCTGTAATTTTTATCATAGGTACACTTCAACTGTGAGAGACGGAATCTAAAAAAAATCCAGAAAATCACATTGTATGATTTTTAAGTAATTAATTTGCATTTTATTGCATGACATAAGTATTTGATCACCTACCAACCAGTAAGAATTCCGGCTCTCACAGACCTGTTAGTTTTTCTTTAAGAAGCCCTCCTGTTCTCCACTCATTACCTGTATTAACTGCACCTGTTTGAACTCGTTACCTGTATAAAAGACACCTGTCCACACACTCAATCAAACAGACTCCAACCTCTCCATAATGGCCAAGACCAGAGAGCTGTGTAAGGACATCAGGGATAAAATTGTAGACCTACACAAGGCTGGGATGGGCTACAGGACAATAGGCAAGCAGCTTGGTGAGAAGGCAACAACTGTTGGCGCAATTATTAGAAAATGGAAGAAGTTCAAGATGACGGTCAATCACCCTCGGTCTGGGGCTCCATGCAAGATCTTACCTCGTGGGGCATCAATGATCATGAGGAAGGTGAGGGATCAGCCCAGAACTACACGGCAGGACCTGGTCAATGACCTGAAGAGAGCTGGGACCACAGTCTCAAAGAAAACCATTAGTAACACACTACGCCGTCATGGATTAAAATCCTGCAGCGCACGAAAGGTCCCCCTGCTCAAGCCAGCGCATGTCCAGGCCCGTCTGAAGTTTGCCAATGACCATCTGGATGATCCAGAGGAGGAATGGGAGAAGGTCATGTGGTCTGATGAGACAAAAATAGAGCTTTTTGGTCTAAACGCCTCTCACCGTGTTTGGAGGAAGAAGAAGGATGAGTACAACCCCAAGAACACCATCCCAACCGTGAAGCATGGAGGTGGAAACATCATTCTTTGGGGATGCTTTTCTGCAAAGGGGACAGGACGACTGCACCGTATTGAGGGGAGTATGGATGGGGCCATGTATCGCGAGATCTTGGCCAACAACCTCCTTCCCTCAGTAAGAGCATTGAAGATGGGTCGTGGCTGGGTCTTCCAGCATGACAACGACCCGAAACACACAGCCAGGGCAACTAAGGAGTGGCTCCGTAAGAAGCATCTCAAGGTCCTGGAGTGGCCTAGCCAGTCTCCAGACCTGAACCTAATAGAAAATCTTTGGAGGGAGCTGAAAGTCCGTATTGCCCAGCGACAGCCGAAACCTGAAGGATCTGGAGAAGGTCTGTATGGAGGAGTGGGCCAAAATCCCTGCTGCAGTGTGTGCAAAGCTGGTCAAGACCTACAGGAAACGTATGATCTCTGTAATTGCAAACAAAGGTTTCTGTACCAAATATTAAGTTCTGCTTTTCTGATGTATCAAATACTTATGTCATGCAAGAAAATGAAAATTAATTACTTAAAAATCATACTATGTAATTTTCTGGATTTTTTTTGTTTTAGATTCCGTCTCTCACAGTTGAAGTGTACCTATGATAAAAAGTACAGACCTCTACATGCTTTGTAAGTAGGAAAACCTGCAAAATCGGCAGTGTATCAAATACTTGTTCTCCCCACTGTATACGTTTCTTAGAGCTTGGTGAGCGCGTGGTTATCCTATGGTTATTTTGCATACAACCTTCCCACAACGTTCTGGGAATGGTGCAGGATAGTTGCTTGGCTTGGGAACATTCTCAGCACATTTAAGGAAATTGACAGAATAACGTAATTTTCTTGGTATTTCAATACTTTAATTTCCTAAAAGTTCAAACATGGTTACATTTAATTAAATTGTTTAGTAATGTTCTAGGAACATTCTCCAACTTGTTTGACATTGGGAATGTACTCAAGTAGTTCAGAGAACGTTAAGAAACAACGTTCTCAGTACTTCAGCATAACGTTTTCTGCAGGTTTCCTCATGGTTCTATTTAAAGTCATGTTCGTTCTCAGAACATTAAGAAAACTTTCCATAAAAACCACAAGAAAACATTAGTAAGGTTCAAAGAATGTTATTGAAAAACATATACATTCCGTTCTCAGCGTCTACAAAACTCTATCTTGTTAAGTGTGTTCAGGTGTGTTGGCTGCACCCACTAATTGGCCACACCTGCTCTTAATGTGTGCTTGTTTCCTTTTAAATGGGGTCTGTTTGAATAGACAAAAATTAACAGCTTTGTATGATTTAAAAAAACATGGCATGCTAGCTCCATCCTGGTGGCGCAGTGGAATAATTCCATAGATAGACAACAGAAGATCATACAGTGGCTTGCGAAAGTATTCACCCCGCTTGGCATTTTTCCTATTTTGTTGCCTTACAACCTGGAATTAAAATGGATTTTGGGGGGGTTTACATCATTTGATTTACACAACATGCCTACCACTTTGAAGATGCAAAATATTTTTTATTGTGAAACAAACAAGAAATAAGACAAAAAAAGAGAACTTGAGTGTGCATAACTATTCACCCCACCAAAAGTCAATACTTTGTAGAGCCACCTTTTGCAGCAATTACAGCTGCAAGTCTCTTGGGGTATGTCTCTATAAGCTTGGCACATCTAGCCACTGGGATTTTTGCCCATTCTTCAAGGCAAAACTGCTCCAGCTCCTTCAAGTTGGATGGGTTCCGCTGGTGTACAGCAATCTTTAAGTCATACCACAGATTCTCAATTGGATTGAGGTCTGGGCTTTGACTAGGCCATTCCAAGACATTTAAATGTTTCCCCTTAAACCACTCGAGTGTTGCTTTAGCAGTATGCTTAGGGTCATTGTCCGGCTGGAAGGTGAACCTCCATCCCACTCTCAAAATCTGGAAGACTGAAACAGGTTTCCCTCAAGAATTTCCCTGTATTTAGTGCCATCCATCATTCCTTCAATTCTGACCAGTTTCCCAGTCCCTGCCGATGAAAAACATCCCCACAGCATGATGCTGCCACTACCATGCTTCACTGTGGGGATGGTGTTCTCGGGGTGATGAGAGGTGTTGGGTTTGCGCCAGACATACCGTTTTCCTTGATGGCCAAAAAGCTCAATTTTAGTCTCATCTGACCAGAGTACCTTCTTCCATATGTTTGGGGAGTCTCCCACATGCCTTTTGGCGAACACCAAACATGTTTGCTTATTTCTTTCTTCAAGCAATGGCTTTTTTCTTTGCCACTCTTCCGTAAAGCCCAGCTCTGTGGAATGTACAACTTAAAGTGGTCCTATGGACAGATACTCCAATCTTCGCTGTGGAGCTTTGCAGCTCCTACAGGGTTATCTTTGGTCTCTTTGTTGCCTCTCTGATTAATGCCTTCCTTGCCTGGTCCGTGAGTTTTGGTGGGCGGCCCTCTCTTGGCAGGTTTGTTGTGGTGCCATATTCTTTAAATTTTTTAATAATGGATTTAATGGTGCTCCGTGGGATGTTCAAAGTTTCTGATTTTTTTTATAACCCAACCCTGATCTGTACTTCTCCACAACTCTGTCCCTGACCTGTTTGGAGAGCTCCTTGGTCTTCATGGTGCCGCTTGCTTGGTGATACCACTTGCGTAGTGGTGTTGCAGACTCTGGAACCTTTCAGAACAGGTGTATATATACTGAGATCATGTGACAGATCATGTGACACTTTATACTTTATTTAACTAATTATGTGACTTCTGAAGGTAATTAGTTGCACCAAATCTTATTTAGGAGCTTCACAGCAAAAGGGGTGAATACATATGCACGCACCACTTTTCCGTTATTTATTTTTTTAAACAAGTTATTTTGTTCATTTCATTTCACCAATTTGGACTATTTTCTGTATGTCCATTACATGAAATCCAAATAAAAATCCATTTAAATTACAGGTTGTAATACAACAAAATAGGAAGAATGCCAAGGGGGATGAATACTTTTGCAAGGCACTGTATGTTAAAATCTCCCTGACGCCATGCCACAATAAAAAATTTATGTGTTTGCATGATTAATGCCAAGCAAATTAATTTCTATATGTCCTACCTGTGCTTGGAGTTCAAAACAGTTAACCCAAACTAAGCTAGCAGTATTATTAAACGTATTATTGAAACATTCAGTGAACATTTTAAGTAAGTTATTCAAAAACCTCAAAATAACCTATAATTTCCGATCTCAAAACGGTAATAAAACCTCCCAGGAAAACTTTCAGGGAACCATAGTAAAACGTTCTCAGAACCTCCTTGCAACTAAACATTTTAGTTCCCAGAACAGGCGAAATGTTCACTTCTGTTCTCAGAACATTTAAACTACTTTCAGTTTTACCGTTCCCAGAACCAATGGGAAACCAAAAACATACGTTCCCACAACTTCCAAGGAACCAAATGTGCTAGCTGGGTGTCTCCTGCTTTCTATTCCATTTAGATTTGTAACACTCTCTCCATTAAGACAAATTGCAACAATGCATCAGAGCTGTAGCTCCCAATAGGCAGACGGCACACTAAATCAACCACTGATATAGAGTTTATATGTGGCCCTTGAAAAATCTCTCAGGCTTTCATACTACTGACCATTAACACACTGACAATCTCTTTACATTTGCATCATTTAGCAGACGCTCTTATCCAGAGCGACTTACAGTCAGTGAGTGCATACATGTTCATACTGGCCCCCCATGGGAAACGAACCCACAACCCTGGCGTTGCAAGCGCCATGCTCTACCAACTGAGCTACAGGGGACGAGCTCTGTGTGATTGTACACTGCTCAAAAAAATAAAGGGAACACTTAAACAACACAATGTAACTCCAAGTCAATCACACTTCTGTGAAATCAAACTGTCCACTTAAGAAGCAACACTGATTGACAATACATTTCACATGCTGTTGTGCAAATGGAATAGACAACAGGTGGAAATTATAGGCAATTAGCAAGACACCCCCAATAAAGGACTGGTTTTGCAGGTGGTGACCACAGACCACTTCTTAGTTCCTATGTTTCCTGGCTGATGTTTTGGTCACTTTTGAATGCTGGCGGTGCTTTCACTCTAGTGGTAGCATGAGACGGAGTCTACAACCCACACAAGTGGCTCAGGTAGTGCAGCTCATCCAGGATGGCACATCAATGCGAGCTGTGGCAAGAAGATTTGCTGTGTCTGTCAGCGTAGTGTCCAGAGCATGGAGGCGCTACCAGGAGACAGGCCAGTACATCAGGAGACGTGGAGGAGGCCGTAGGAGGGCAACAACCCAGCAGCAGGACTGCTACCTCCGCCTTTGTGCAAGGAGGAGCAGGAGGAGCACTGCCAGAGCCCTGCAAAATGACCTCCAGCAGGCCACAAATGTGCATGTGTCTGCTCAAATGGTCAGAAACAGACTCCATGAGGGTGGTATGAGGGCCCGACATCCACAGGTGGGGTTTGTGCTTACAGCCCAACACCGTGCAGGACGTTTGGCATTTGCCAGAGAACACCAAGATTGGCAAATTCGCCACTGGCGCCCTGTGCTCTTCACAGATGAAAGCAGGTTCACACTGAGCACATGTGACAGACTTGACAGAGTCTGGAGACGCCGTGGAGAATGTTCTGCTGCCTGCAACATCCTCCAGCATGACCGGTTTGGCGGTGGAACAGTCATGGTGTGGGGTGGCATTTCTTTGGGGGGCTGCACAGCCCTCCATGTGCTCGCCAGAGGTAGCCTGACTGCCATTAGGTACCGAGATGAGATCCTCAGACCCCTTGTGAGAACATATGCTGGTGCGGTTGGCCCTGGGTTCCTCCTAATGTAAGACAATGCTAGACCTCATGTGGCTGGAGTGTGTCAGCAGTTCCTGCAAGAGGAAGGCATTGATGCTATGGACTGGCCCGTCTGTTCCCCAGACCTGAATCCAATTGAGCACATCTGGGACATCATGTCTCGCTCCATCCACCAACGCCACGTTGCACCACAGACTGTCCAGGAGTTGGCGGATGCTTTAGTCCAGGTCTGGGAGGAGATCCCTCAGGAGACCATCCGCCACCTCATCAGGAGCATGCCCAGGCGTTGTAGGGAGGTCATACAGGCACGTGGAGACCACACACACTACTGAGCCTCATTTTGACTTGTTTTAATGACATTACATAAAAGTTGGATCAGCCTGTAGTGTGGTTTTCCACTTTAATTTTGAGGGTGACTCCAAATCCAGACCTCCATGGGTTGATGAATTTGATTTCCATTGATCATTTTTGTGTGATTTTGTTGTCAAAAAAGTATTTAATAAGATTATTTCATTCATTCAGATCTAGGATGTGTTATTTTAGTGTTCCCTTTATTTTTTTGAGCAGTGTATTATCTAAAGATAAAGTATAACAAAAGTAACATGCTGTTCTGCTGTTACACTGTTGAACATTATACTGTCTTAATAGATATTTATCTGCCATTATCTACAGATTGTCTCTCGCAGTTACCCAATGGAGAATTCTTGCTTGCTTTCATCCCTTGGGTGTAAACTGTCAAGGGAGTGAAATACAGCACATTATATTTGCCCTATAGGGAATCTGAATGTATATGATTCAAGTGCTCCATACTATCTTACCCAGAGCTTGGGCCAGGCCCAACACTTTCTGCCCATAGACATCAGTCTTGTTCCAGGCCAGGACATAGACCAGGTTGGGGGCGGCAGGGAACCACTTCTGGAAGAGGCGTCCCTCGATGGCGGAGGATACGTGCACCTTAGCCAGGCCAGTGGGGATGATGGAGTGGGTTAAGATGATGCGTAACAGAGACTTGTAGCCAGGGGAGCGGGTGCTCAGGTAGCTGAGCTTTAAGAAACTGCCAGGGATGGTGATCTCCTCTTGGACAGCCTGAGGAGGAGGATAAAATATTTCGCCTGCTGTTATTACGTGCTATTGGTAACCAGGGGTTGGAAAAGCTTCACAAGCCCCAAGGATACAGACTGTACGTATAGAAACATTTAAAAACTTTTTCAGTAAAGAATCTTTGATCACTTGGTGTTTGTACTCGCTCCAAGATATACTTGCACGTAGTGTATATCACTTTCTTGAAACCAAATCAAAATAACGATACTTGACACTTTTCTAACTTTGAACATTATTTGTAACACGTTGCCCCTAGAATACTAAATAACAACTATATATCCTATATCATTAGCAATGTACAGGAGGACATTTTAATTACTGCTGATGATCTAACCCCCACTCCCACCCTTCACTGCTCACAGCTTCAATCATTCTGAACTGGCTCCTCATTAAAATCACTATCAGTTCCATTATCTCCCACAACAAACTAGGACGTCTAGTCGTCTACACGCTGCAAAACACAGTTCCAAAGAGATAGGAATATCAGGGGGATCGGGGGATCGGGGGAGAAAATAGCAAGCAGATGGCAGCTCTGTGAATAAAGCGCCCCGGCAACTGATTAGTGTGAGATTCTAAGATGATTTCACAGGTACAATATGAACCTGGTGAAAATTTGACAGGATGCAGAAGAACGAAAAAAACTAACATTTCAATCTCCTACTAAAGAAAAATGCAGCAATTGGAATAAAAACAACCATTTATCACTTACACCTGGAAGTCATCATAACATGATATTGCGAGTAGAGTATAGGTTGTAAGCTGAATGAGCACCACTGGGACTGTATATTACTGTATATATTATGTTTATTACTGGCTGGTGAGTGGGCAGTCTACTGTACCTGCAGCTCAGGGATGGCTGGGCCTCGCTCCTCACAGGTGCTGGCGAAACGGGTGAGAGGGGAGGGGAGGACGATTGGGTAGGGACTGACCAGGTTCTTCAGGTCACACACAAGGGGGCGAGACTCCACCCTCGACATGGTGACCTTCTCTACAACCACAAACTGGTTCCATGGTAACCAGACGGTGCGTTTCTGCATGAGGAAGGGAGCCCTCTGGAAGATCAGGGAGACTGAGATGCCCCCTGCAGCCACTAGGTCAAAACTACAGGAACAGAATCAACACAAATAAGAGCAAGACTATCTCAGCATCATAAGCCAGTTTACTATAGTATCCACATACAATACTTGACCACTGTCTACCTACCTGCCATCCTGGCGACTGACAGAGAAGCCGAATTCGGGGTACTGCTGGAAGCTGATGTTTACCCCCACCAGTGGGGTCCCGTCTACTGCTACCACCTGCCCCCGGATCACTGAGGCTCGGCTAGGAGAGAGCAGGTTTTATTTCACTGGGTAAATACATTCTACTATAACAAGTTGCAGTGTTTTCCAGTTCAGTTGACAAAGGCAAATGTGCTATATCCATTCACTGTGGTAGCCTACAAATAGCTATGTAGAACGGGATCTGTACTTCAGTGGCAATGATACACTGAACAAAAATATAAACGCTACATGCAACAATTTCAAAGATTTTACTGAGTTACAGTTCATAAAAGGAAATCAGTCAAATGAAATAAATTCATTAGGCCTTAATCTATGGATTTCACATGACTGGGAATACAGACATGCATCTGTTGGTCACAGATACCTTTAAAAAAAGTGGGGGCGTGGATCTGAAAACCAGTCAATATCTGGTGTGACCATCATTTGCTTCGCATAGAGTTGATCAGGCTGTTGATTGTGGCCTGTGGAATGTTGTCCCACTCCTCTTCAATGGGTGTGCGAAGTTGCTGGATATTGGCGAGAACTGGAACACGCTGTTGTACACGTCGATCCAGAGCATCCCAAACATGCTCAATGGGTGACATGTCTGGTAAGTATGTAGGCCATGGCAGAACTGGGACATTTTCAGTTTCCAGGAATTGTGTATAGATCCTTGCGACATGGGGCCGTGCATTATCATGCTGAAAGGTGATGGCGGCGGATGAATGGCACGATAATGGGCCTCAGGATCTCATCACGGTATCTCTGTGCATTCAAATTGCCATCGATAAAATGCTATTGTGTTCGCTGTCCGTAGCTTATGTCTGCCCATACCATAACCCCACCGCTACCTTGGGGCACTGTCACAATGTTGACATCAGCAAACCGCTCGCCCACACGACGCCATATATGTTGTCTGCCATCTGCCCGGTACAGTTGAAACCGGGATTCATCCTAAAGAGCACACTTTTCCAGCGTGCCAGTGGCCATCGAAGGTGAGCATTTGCCCACTAAAGTCAGTTACGACACCGAACTGCAGTCAGGTCAAGACCCTGGTGATGAAGACAAGCAAGCAGATGAGCTTCCCTGAGACGGTTTCTGACAGTTTGTGCAGAAATTCTTCGATTGTGCAAACCCACAGTTTCATCAGCTGTACGGGTGGCTGGTCTCAGACCATCCAGCAGTTGAAGAAGCTGGATGTGGAGGTCCTGGGCTGGCGTAGTTACACGTGGTCTGCGGTTGTGAGGCCGATTGGATGTACTGCCAAATTCTCTAAAACTACGTTGGAGGCAGCTTTTGGTAGAGAAATTAACAGGAAATTATCTGGCAACAGCTCTAGTGGACCTTCCTGCAGTTAGCATGCCAATTGCACGCTTCCTCAAAACTTGAGACATCTGTGACATTGTGTTGTGTGACAAAACTGTACATTTTAGAGTGGCCTTTTTCAGCTTCTTGATATGCCACACCTGTCACGTGGATGGATTATCTTAGCAAAGGAGAAATGCTCACTAACAGGGATGTAAAGAAATTAGTGCAAAACATTTGAGAGAAAGAAGCTTTTTGTGCGTATGGAAAATTTCTGGGATCTTTTATTTCAGCTGATGAAACGTGGGACCAACACTTTACATGTTGCATATGTTTGTTCAGTGTGATTCTACAGTATAACAAGCTATTTCTGTTCATCCATGCAAACTATCTATTATCTACTCTACCTGCTGTCGAATGGGATGTCTCCAGGGAAGACATGGGTGCTGTCCTTCCCAACCAGGAAGTGGACACGGTCATAGAAGAGGCGTGAGAGGAGCGAGGCGAAGGGTGTCTGGCTCTGCTGGATTAGGTCCAGGGGGTCCGGGGAGCCCTGGCACAGAGGCCCACTGTGGCAGCTAGGCTGCTGGCAGCAGTCTGGGTCCACACAGTCTGTCAGGCCATCTACACCAACACAATAACACAACATCATCACAGCTAAGTCTACACTGTACAGTATCTCAGGCTCACAATGTAATACAAGTGGGAGGACTACATAACATTCAAAGCACAGAGGACCATGCGAAATTGAGATAAAATCTCTCAAGTGGTTTGAAACTGTAAATCAAATTTCCAAATTATATAGAATACATCGATAATGTTTCTCCAAAGTGGGAGTACATCCACTCCACCCTATTGAGCCTTTAACACACAGTAATCAAGATCAGTTAGACATGGCTTTGCTGTGATGATTTAAACATGAAAAACGTGGAGATACTGATGAATAACAATATACTGTATCTAGCAGCTAGATATATTGTTATTCATCAGCATCTCCACGTCTATGAATAATTGTAATATTGAGAGTGAAAAACTGAAAATATCCCAAACCAGGAAAAATACAACTGAGAAAACAGTATTCGGGAAAATACAAAGAGTGCCTATTCGAAAGCTAGGAAAAAAATTATGAGTAGCTCGCGACATGTTTCATAATTTAAAAGTAGCTCTCATGCTAGAAAAGGTTGGAGACCCCTGGTCTAGATGATTTCTGACAAGGAGCAAAATGCACTTCTGATTTATACAGTCTCAATACAGTATACTGCACTTACTTGCCGCTCTATAATTGCAGTATAGTGCCTTCCTAATTATGTTCTCTTTAATGTCTAATATAATGTGGGTCTGAGCAAGGGCAGCGCATCGGGTCCATTAAATCCATAGACTCCTCTCACACAGCCAGTTTAAATTGTGCTTAAGTGAATGCTGACATTCATCACAGCAAAATTGCATTGGTAATTAAAAGCAGAATAATGTCTCTTGTTCTTTTGTACACACCTTCCGCGATATGTAAATATGCTTTATTTTAAAAGTATGGCAAATATAAGTGCAATGCGGAATTAATTCAGAATAAAATGTTAAGTCTGTTTACAGAATATAATAAGATAGGAACTATACTAAGGTAATGTAATAAGATAGTAACTATGTTAACATAATGTAACAAGGTGTAATGATACAGTATGTGCCAAATAAAAGTGACAAGCTTAAATTCAGTAAACAACTGGCTAACACAGCAGCATAACTACTGGGCCGAGAGCCATAATATCCCCATTCAGAGCTGGATTGCCAAAGTAAGGGCGGCACCGTGCCCAGCAGGCCTAAAATGTCATGATTTTAGGGGCAAGTCCATTTGGCCTTCAAGAGGTGCCGAATCTGCCAGGGCACCAAGGCCATCTGCTAGGGCACCAAGACTATTAACCAAAATAGTCAATTAAATTGTGTATGTAAATGTACATAAATAATTAGTAGATTGACATAGGCTAGTGCTTTTGCTGTTCGTTAGGCTTACTCATCTTGTTGGCTGATGAAAAGTAAATGTGGACAGTTCTTCTAACATCTTCAATATGCACGCCGCAGCATCCCCGTTGTGTCTGGCTTCACTTGTAGCCTACTTCAGAGCTGCGATGCCTGTGAGAAGGACCCGATCACGTGACGGGCATTGGCTAATAAGAATTTAGATATCTGAGAGAGCCATGTGAGTGAGAGGTGCTTCGGAGCGATTGGCAGCAGGGGGAAGGGAATTATAATTATTATATTCAGCCCAAGGGCACAACGGCCACAAGGCATGAATATGTTTAGGGGCATTACGGCCACACAAGGGGGCAACGACGGCCATGGCCGCCGGGAAATTAGAGGCCTGGTGCCCAGCCATTAGCTGGTTGGCAGGGTTGGCCGTAACTACACTGGTCATGACCAAAATGCATTCATTTTGGTGGTTACAATATTAGAACATCTCACAACAATAATGTATCTAAGAACAATGGCACCTGTACTGTACCTGCCATTGCCACGATACTTACATAATCAACAAATAAACAATGCAATAAAATCATGAAGAAAACATTTCTTTGGGTGACAATTGCTATCCATGTTCTGGATCTATTGTTGTATAATTAATGCACTCCATAGCTGCAAAAGTAAAACAAAGCATTGTGCATCAGCAATGCACAGCCACCATGTTCATAATGAAGACTGGATGGTAATTTGTAGTTATAGCAACTCATTTACAGCTGGTTGGAAAAGTCATTATCTTTTCTCTTAATCACTGCTCTTTTTCAGGTGATCATTTGCCATTTAGTTTTTTCAACCAATGCCTCTGATGAGGCCTCATTTGGAATATAAATGGCATTTCTAATGGAGTTGAGATGAGATGAAAATAGGAATATGTTCTGGGATTTTGACATATATATATTGGCTTGGGGAAGTAATTGGCATGGGGTGATTATTTCCTCCTCTCCTTTGTTGGAGTGTCTGCCAATTTGAGCCTCCTACAGTTTCCCTCTCCATCAAAGGAGGGCCAAAATGAATGTACATCATCCAAGATTCCCATCAGTCATAAGAACTCACACACAATGCTGAGGTATCATCTTTGAAGGGAGAGTCATAGCTGCCGTGAATAGCATTCATTTAGGTTGTAGAATGACAGAGTGAACGTTTACTGCCCAGGTTGCCGCACATCACTGAACTGAACGTGATTTTGTTTTCTATTGTAGTGGGTGAGGAAAGAAAATACAGTGCATGATTTATGATCAACACAAACAAAACAAAGATACACTAACATCACGCTGCACATGCCTGCCTTATCACATGCACAGGCACACACAGGGGAATGCACACTAACACGGCTAGAGAAACTGTGAAAATTAGCAAAGAATGAATAATTGTTAAAGTGAAGAAGCTGTCTTGCTTCAATCTAGAAGCTTCCTGGGATAAATAATCTGACTTAACACTGTCAAGGTAAGAGGTAATTGTACAAGCAGCCAGAGCTGGGAAACCATGAGGAGTGGGTGAGGTAAAAGAGTTCACGCTCAAATCCACATCTCCCTGTTTTTCAGACACTAGCTAGACTGTAGAGGCTGTACACAATATTATGCTCTTACCTTCTGACACTTCAGCCCAATACAGATCTTTTTTCAACGAATTGGTCTTTTGACCAATCACATCAGCTCTTTTCACATCAGATCTTTTTCTAATCTGATTGGTCAAAAGACCAATTAGTTGAAAAAAGATCTGAATTGGGCTGCCTGTGTAAACGCAGCCTTCTGTCTGCACATTTAAAGGAACTAGATGCAGTCTAATGTAGCCAATTTTGCACCTTATATAAAGAGGTACATTTTAATTAAACATCTGACTCATGTAGTGGAATTGGATGAGACATAGTGCTCAAACAGAATCAGTATATCTTGTAGCCTGTCACTTTAAATTAATTCATAATGACTCTTCATTTCTACATATTACACCTAATATTGTATTATCATAAACTTTACTTTTTTTAGGTAAAGGAGTTCACACTCCAACCACATCCCTGTTTCCAGATGGTAGCTTGACTGATGGTAACTGTATTATGCTTTTATCTCCTTTGCCACATACAAAGGAACTAGATGCAGTCTAATGTAGCCAATGTACACCTCATATACAGAGGGACATATACATGAAGAAGCTGGCTCTCGATGAGACATGGTGCCTAAACAGAAGCAATATGTTTTCTAACCTGTCAATCACAATTTGTATTATACCAGACTACAGTAATTACTACATTACACAAACATGTTTTACATTTCATATTACATAATTGTAAACTTGACTTTCTCTTTTTTTTTACTTTGAAACAACAATAACATGTGATGTAAGTCAGGGAACAACTAGGTTACCCTTGCTTTAACAAATGGCCTTTTTCTCCCTCTTTTACGTTTCCCTCAAAGACATGGGCATTGAACCCGAGCTCCAAAGCCTCATTTCTGGCTCCCTGTTCACTGGAACACCAGGGGCTACGCTCAAGCATTAATCCTCAGAGGAGCCAAGCAGCAGGCAGCACACCATCAGTAAATTACTGAGAGAAAACCTAGAGGTCCCCTTGGTCTGAGAGCCATGGCAACTACTGTAGTGATAATCTAACAAAAGGAAAATGGAAATGAAAATGAAAAGGCTCGTTGGTTCAGATGTCGGGAAGGAGAAGTGGTCCTAAATATTTCCTCATCCTGACCTTCACCGCCGCTGGAGGTCAAGTCATTAATCATTATTGAGTCACAGACAGGCCACCATCCACAGGGACCTTACCTCTGTCATTGTCGGTGTTGTCATCACACTCTGTCTCCATGACGATGTTGCATCCTATGCCGCTCCAGCCCGCCTGGCACACACAGTGCCACCCGCTCTGTTCTAGGGTGCAGCGACCGCGGCCATTGCACAGGCCTGGACAGCCGTCTGGATGGAGAGAGGGAGAGAAGACAGACAGTCTGTGTATCAGAACACTGCCAGAAACAACGGGTCATTCCTCATGATTAAGGAGATGGGGACAGATGCTGCTACCTTTTTAATTTACATAAAATCCAGATGTCTGGCCATTCGAAAACATTTGCTACATACACTATCCTACGTATTTATTTTGACAGTGAAGCTAAAACTTTTAATTATTCTCCGGGATTTTGGATTTGAGATCAAATGTTTTATATGAGGCGACAGTACAGAATGTCACCTTTTATTTGAGGGTATTTTCATGAATATCTGTTTTACCATTTAGAAATAAATGCACTTTACGTATTCAGTCACCTCATTTCAAGGTGTCAAGTATTTGGACAAATTAACTTATAGTGTAGTATTTCGTCCCATATTCCTAGCATGCAATGATTACATCAAGCTTGTGACTCTACAAACATTTTGCATGCATTTGCAGTTTGTTTTGGTTGTGTTTCAGATTATGTTGTGCCCAATAGAAATCAATAGTAAATAACGTGTGGTGCCATTTTGGAGTCACTTTTATTGTAAATAAGAATATAAGTGTTTCTGAACACTTCTACATTAATGTGGCTGCTACCATGATTATGGATAATCATGAATGAATCGTGAATAATGATGAGTGAGAAAGTTATTAGATCCTTAACCCAATGAGTCCCACCAATTTAGAACTTCTAACCCCTTTTAAACATTGTGTGTTTGAGCTACAGACTTCTGGTTATACCATCAGATTTGACTATTTCTCTGCATACGCTGGTACCAACCATTAGTCTGTGTGATTAACAGGGGCTGAGCCAGAGTGGTGTGTGGGCAGATCCCGAAGGGGCCCAGGCTGTGTCTTTTCTTACAAAAACGTCTGTAGTCAGAATGGTTTGAGATTCAAACTATAAGAATATATCTATGAAAAGCTGAGACTCTCACAAGCATGCACGCTCTATGACCCTCACAAGCTACACAAGAGTTGTTAGAAGGTAAGGGGTTCATCTACGTAGAAGACCATAGGAAATCCCAGGACATAGTGTCTATAATACTGTAATAAGCTCACATAGTTGCTGTCACAAACTCCAAACTCCACACAGTTGTCATTGACTAGTTGGATATTCATTTCCCACTGAGCAAATTATTTCTGTTTTTACAGAATTCATATCAATTCATTTTCATCAGGTTTTTGCTTTGGCAGACTTTCTTTCGTCAATAAAACTCATGTCTGTGTGAGTTACTGACTGAGCCTAAGAGGAACTACACAGGAACAGACAAGTTCCTCAGGGGAGTGGAGAAGGTATCATCACTTCTACTGAGATGAGTTCTCTTAATGGGTGTTTGAATCAGGGTATTAAGCCTAGTAAGAATACAGTGAGGGAAAAAAGTATTTGATCCCCTGCTGATTTTGTACGTTTGCCCACTGACAAAGACATGATCAGTCTATAATTTTAATGGTAGGTTTATTTGAACAGTGAGAGACAGAATAACAACAAAAAAATCCTGAAAAACGCATGTCAAAAATGTTATAAATTGATTTGCATTTTAATGAGGGAAATAAGTATTTGACCCCTCTGCAAAACATGACTTAGTACTTGGTGGCAAAAACCTTGTTGGCAATCACAGAGGTCAGACGTTTCTTGTAGTTGGCCACCAGGTTTGCACACATCTCAGGAGGGATTTTGTTCCACTCCTCTTTGTAGATCTTCTCCAAGTCATTAAGGTTTCGAGGCTGACGTTTGGCAACTCGAACCTTCAGCTCCCTCCACAGATTTTCTATGGAATTAAGGTCTGGAGACTGGCTAGGCCACTCCAGGACCTTAATGTGCTTCTTCTTGAGCCACTCCTTTGTTGCCTTGGCCCTGTGTTTTGGGTCATTGTCATGCTGGAATACCCATCCACGACCCATTTTCAATGCCCTGGCTGAGGGAAGGAGGTTCTCACCCAAGATTTGATGGTACATGGCCCCGTCCATCGTCCCTTTGATGCGGTGAAGTTGTCCTGTCCCCTTAGCAGAAAAACACCCCCAAAGCATAATGTTTCCACCTCCATGTTTGACGGTGGGGATGGTGTTCTTGGGGTCATAGGCAGCATTCCTCCTCCTCCAAACACGGCGAGTTGAGTTGATGCCAAAGAGCTCGATTTTGGTCTCATCTGACCAAAACACTTTCACCCAGTTCTCCTCTGAATCATTCAGATGTTCATTGGCAAACTTCAGACGGCCCTGTATATGTGCTTTCTTGAGCAGGGGGACCTTGCGGGCGCTGCAGGATTTCAGTCCTTCACGGCATAGTGTGTTACCAATTGTTTTCTTGGTGACTATGGTCCCAGCTGCCTTGAGAACATTGACAAGATCCTCCCGTGTAGTTCTGGGCTGATTCCTCACCGTTCTCATGATCATTGCAACTCCACGAGGTGAGATCTTGGATGGAGCCACAGGCCGAGGGAGACCTTGTGTAGGTCTACAGTCTTGTCCCTGACATCCTTGGAGAGCTCTTTGGTCTTGGCCATGGTGGAGAGTTTGGAATCTGATTGATTGATTGCTTCTGTGGACAGGTGTCTTTTATACAGGTAACAAGCTGAGATTAGGAGCACTCCCTTTAAGAGTGTGCTCCTAATATCAGCTTGTTACCTGTATAAAAGACACCTTGGAGCCAGACATCTTTCTGATTGAGAGGGGGTCAAATACTTACAGTTGAAGTCGGAAGTTTACATACACCTTAGCCAAATATATTTAAACTCAGTTTTTCACAATTCCTGACATTTAATCCTAGTAAAAACTGTCTTAGGTCAGTTAGGATCACCACTTTATTTTAAGAATGTGAAATGTCAGAATAATTGTGGTCCTCTGTAGCTCAGCTGGTAGAGCACGGCGCTTGTAACGCCAAGGTAGTGGGTTCGATCCCCGGGACCACCCTTACACAAAAAAAAAATGTATGCACGCATGACTGTAAGTCGCTTTGGATAAAAGCGTCTGCTAAATGGCATATTATTATTATAATAGTAGAGAGAATGATTTATTTCAGCTTTCATTTCTTTCATCACATTCCCAGTGGGTCAGAAGTTTACATACACTCAATTAGTATTTGGTAGCATTGCCTTTAAATTGGTTAACTTGGGTCAAACGTTTTGGGTAGCCTTCCACAAGCTTCCCACAATAAAATTTTGGCCCATTCCTCCTGATAGAGCTGGTGTAACTGAATCAGGATTGTAGGCCTCCTTGCTCGCACATGCTTTTTCAGTTCTGCCCACAAATGTTCTATAGGATTGAGGTCAGGGCTTTGTGATGGCCACTCCAATACCTTGACTTTGTTGTCCTTCAGCCATTTTGCCACAACTTTGGAAGTATGCTTGGGGTCATTGTCCATTTGGAAGACCCATTTACGACCAAGCTTTAACTTCCTGACTGATGTCTTGAGATGTTGCTTCAATATAGCCACATCATTTTCTTTCCTCATGATGCCATCTATTTTGTGATGTGCACCAGTCCCTCCTGTAGCAGCATGACCCCCACAGCATGATGCTGCCACCCCTGTGCTTCACGGTTGGGATGGTCTTCTTCGGCTTGCAAGATCCCCCATTTTCCTCCAAATATGACGATGGTCATTATGGCCAAACAGTTGTATTTTTGTTTCATTAGGCCAGGGGACATTTCTCCTAAAAGTACGATCTTTGTCCCCATGTGCAGTTGCAAACCGTAGTCTGGCTTTTTTATGGCGGTTTTGGAGCAGTGGCTTCTTCCTTGCTGCGTGGCCTTTCAGGTTATGTCGATATAGGACTCGTTTTACTGTGGATATAGATACTTTTGTACCTGTTTCCTCCAGCATCTTCACAAGGTCCTTCGCTGTTGTTCTGGGATTGATTTGCATTTTTCGCACCAAAGTACTTTCATCTCTAGGAGACAGAACACGTCTCCTTCCTGAGCGGTATGACGGCTGCGTGGTCCCATGGTGTATATACTTGCGTACTATTGTTTGTACAGATGAACGTGGTACCTTCAGGCATTTGGAAATTGCTCCCAAGGATGAAACAGACTTGTGGAGGTCTACAATTGTTTTTCTGAGGTCTTGGCTGATTTATTTTGAGTTTGAAGGTAGGCCTTGAAATACATCCACAGGTACACCTCCAATTGACTCAAATTATGTAAATTAGCCTATCAGAAGCTTCTAATGCCATGACATCATTTTCTGGAATTTTCCAAGCTGTTTAAAGGCAGTCAACTTAGTGTATGTAAACTTCTGACCCACTGGAATTGTGATACAGTGAATTAGAATTGAAATAATCTGTCTGTAAACAATTGTTGGAAGATTACTTGTGTCATGCACAAAGTAGATGTCCTAACCGACTTGCCAAAACTATAGTTTGTTAACAAGAAATGTGTGGAGTGGTTGAAAAACAAGTTTTAATGACTCCAACCTAAGTGTCTGTAAACTTCTGACTTCAACTCATTAAAATGCAAATCAATTTATCAAATTTTTGACATGCGTTTTCCTGGATTTTTCTGGCGTTTTTCTGGATTTTGTTGTTGTCTCTCACTGTTCAAATAAACCTACCATTAAAATTATAGACTGATTATTTCTTTGTCAGTGGGCAAACGTACAAAATCAGCAGGGGATCAAATACTTTTTTCCCTCACTGTACCTATGTCACATACGTCAGTATACATCAGTATGAAAATGTATGCACTCACTAACTGTAAGTCGCTCTGGATAAGAGCGTCTGCTAAATGACTAAAATGTAAAATGTAAATGTAATGAAAGCAACTGTTTATGTCAAATTGTTTTGTGTTCTACTTGTAGCCCTGGTTGTCCTGAAAAGAAAATGGTAAAGCACTTCATTGTGAGGCTAAATATAAGGGCTGGACATAAACATAAATGAAAGTCAAATAAATGAAAATACCATTTTTGCTGGGGTCTTGGGACTACTAGGGTTAAATATCATGCCCCCAAAACATGCTAACCTCTCAACATTACCAATAACAGGGGAGGTTAGCATTTTGGAGGGGTATGATATTTATGCCTCTAACTTTCTCACTCATCATTATTCCAGATTCATTCATGATTATCCGTAATCATGGTAGCATCCACATTAATGAAGTTTTTAGAAACATATTCCATTCTTATTTACAATAAAAGTTACTCTAAAATGGCACCACACATTATGTGCTATTCATTTCTATTGGGCACAACATAATCTGAAACACAACCAAAACAAACTGCAAATGCATTAAATAAGTTTGTAGAGTCACAAGTTTGATGTAGTCCTTGCGTGGAATATGGGACCAAATACTAAACCTTTTACTAAATGTATACACTATAAGTGAATTTGTCCCAATACTTATAACACCTTTTAATGTGGGGACTAGATACATAAAGTGCTTTCATTTCTAAACGGTAAACCAGATATCCTCAAAATACCCTCAAATAAATGGTGGCATTCTGTACTGTTGCCTCATATAAAACATTTGATCTCAAATACAAAATTCTGGAGTATAGAGACAAATTAAAAGTTTTAGATTCAATGTCCAAATAAATACATAGGGGGGTGTATTTTGTTATATTCCATCTCACATAAATTGAATATAGTGAATGTTCTGCCATTGCTTTGGGCATAATACTTTCTCCTCAGAATTAATTAACATCTCAATAAATGTGCTTTGGTGGTAGGCATACCATTCAAAACCCCTGCTGCTATGAAACAATTAAATCCTAAAGAATGAGTGTGCATCTTACCTTTAACAACGAGATCCAGGTAATATGCTATATACCACATGAAGATAAAAGGAAGAAAGAAAAAAGTGTCTGAGATTAGATTACTGAGCCTCAAAGATATATGCTAGCACCAGGGCACATGAAGAGATAATTACAGCCTATTAATGTGCCAGGAGCTAAGCTTTATGGTTTGATTCACACATCCACAGAGACACAAAGCCCATCTCCAATTCCCTATCTTTAAAGGCAAGTAGAAGGATTTCAAAGGAGTGTTTTCTTGCATTTTTGAAGTTTAAAAAGATCTTCTGGTTCTTTTACAAAATGTGCTTTTCAGTCACTTGGCAATACCCAATTCCATTAGTCCCAGATGACAAACTGCAGTGTTCTATCAAGGTGTATCCACATTAATTGAGTGTGTTCGAACTTGGGGAGCAAATTATTCAGTTGCAAGAAAAATAAAAATGCCTCCACTCTAGGGAGGAGGGCATGGCTGATGGAAAATTTGCCTGGCGGCAACCAACAGTTTAATTGTGACTCAGAGTTTTCATTCTCAAATAACGCCAATGAAGTGGATAAATTGTATAACTGACAGGCAGGTCACTGACATCATTGAACCCCAGCCAGTGGCTCTAAGACACATGGTAACATGTTACCCTCCTAAACACCCCGCTTCCCTCCCTCTAAATGTCTAGCAAGGTTTGGTACCAGTGTTTCACCTGTACTCTTCTAGCAGATTGAGTGAAGGACCGGGCAAGAATGACTCATGGGTTCCATCTGACAACTGCTCATCTATATTATACAGCAGACGGATGATTGGCTGGGAATGGTCTGCTAAACTGCTACAGTATTTAAAATATGTGGTGATAGAAAATATGCACGCACATGGATTACATATTCGTTGATTTGTATCTGCAAAAATCTGTGGTTCACACATCTTTCATTAATACATTAGTAAAGCGTGGTCACAGTTTAAGACATCAAGACCTCGGGACTATAAGGTTCTATCTGACATTTTTGTCAAACATTTGTTAGTCACATATAATTGACCTTTAGATGGTTCTTCATATGTCTGCGAAGTTAGATTTTTGAAAAAGTTAATTTTGAGTGAAGAAAATGAAAAACTAGAAAGTTCTATCTCCATAAACCCATTTGAACTTGACGCTATTAGGTTCTGTCTGCAATCCAATCACAAGACTGAACAAATACAGATGGACCAATCAGAACAAATGTCTTTGCCATCTCCCTGGTCTAGGCTAGTCTAGCCAGCAATAATTTTACGCAAGCAAAAAAACAACTGTCAGAAATCAGTGATGACATAATACATTTCTTAATGTATTTGTTGATGTGTTCTGACTCTATCTTGGTAAATTAGTGTTATTCTATCATTTATGTATTCAAATAGCTACCGTACAGTTTTCTTAAAAACTGAACATGTCTATTTCAGAAGTGTCAGATAGAACCTTATAGCTCTGAAATATCAATCTGGGTTCAGCCATAAGGTTCTATCTGTGATGGCACCCCCTAAAAAAACAGATTTACAAATGTCTCAGGATTTTGATATTCTGCACTTTAGTTACCTTTACAGTGAGGACCTTAATGGGTTATGCAAGAAGAATTCACTACAAAACTGTTCTGAGATCTAGGATGTGAAAACTTGTATTCTCAATATCTCAAAACTATGCTTTGCACAGATAGAACCTTATAGTCCCAAGGTCACAACATGCTAAAACACCATCAAGCCTGGGTACAGTAAATCAGCCCCTATGCCTCTAAACAGAACAATAGCTACTAGAGTCACGTTACACGCTCTGTGTATTAACCTCCTGTGGTAGTGTTAGTCCTCGGGGGGCGGGGGCGAGACTCACCGATGCTGCAGTGTTCTCCCTCCCAGCCGGGGTGGCACTCACACTGTCCGTTCTTACACTGGCCATGCTCCTGGCAGCGGGGGTGGCAGGCCTGCAGGTCACAGCCTGGCCCCTCCCAGCCCTCCTCACACTGGCACTTCCCTCCCACACACACACTGTGGGCACTGCAGGGCACCGGACACACCTCTGCACACAGACACAGAGAGAGACCGGCAGGGGTCTTACTGCACTGGGCAACAGACAGTACACCTCTACACAGGCCAGATGGACATGTCAAAGGTCAGCTGCATCATTGCTCCCAAAATACACGTGATCATTTCCTATGAATTAATTCAGGATCCTAGACTCATTTCTGCACTCATCTTGTCTTGCAAGTTCATCTAATAGAACAAAAAAATGAATATATTTAAAAGGAATATAATGAAAACCCATTACCATTTTTATTCTAATGGTATCTCTACTCTACATACTCATGATTTGAAACTTTAATTTTGAATAGGAATAGGAAAATGTTTGTTATAATACAGAACAGGCAATACTTTCTATGTTGAGTGCTGCAGGTGCAGTTATAATACATTCAATGCTTAAAGTTTTAGAAGTTTAATGGTATTCAATGAATAATTTCAGCAGAATATGGAGAGTACATCCTATCAGCAAGTAGCCAATCAGCAGGGAGAAGAAAGAGCTGCTGGCGCAGAAAGGCCACTTATCCCCACACATGGAAAAGGCATTCCCATTAAAATATACATCATATTTAATCATGCCATAACAACTCAATTTGCATTTTATTAATCTCGATTTTTCTACCATTAAGCATATGACATTTAATCCATTTCCTCTATGCATCTGCTCGCAATAGAATTCAACATGTTTGCCATCTAAAACAATTTTATAATAACAGTTGAATGTTGGCATTATCTTCAATGCCTTTATATTTCTGTTTTAAAAACCAAATACTGCACATTGATACATATAATTCACTGTCTTAAAGTGAGGTTACAGTATGTCTACTCCATAGTAATGACATTGTCAGTGCAGTCACACACAGTCAACATTACAAGTAATTCTACATATACTTGAGTGAACATAAAATCAATTTTCACTTTTGGATAGAAAACCTGAACTTTGCTTTGGAAGGCTGGAAAAAAGTGTGGGTTGAGTGAATGCACAATTCTTTCATGGTTAAGGAAACCGAGGCACCACACTGCTCCAAGATTCAATTCATTGGAAAGTGAAATAGCCTCCACATGAGCTGTTTTTCCCTTTGGCCATCACTGAAAACACAATTGATAGGAAAAATAATGAAGAATGAGTGATTACTTTGCCTTTTGAGGAATGTCTTAATATGCAGCCCACCTTTCAGGTTTTTCACCCAACTTTAATAAAGGCTTGGCATGTAGCACTACTTGACTCAAGGAAGAGAACCATTAATAATATGAAGATGAGCAAAAATTCATATGACAGGGACCCTATATTCTAAAGGATGGAGGCTTCCATAATATTGTTGTCACGGTTTCCATCCCTCTCCATAAGCAGTGACACCAGCAGGGTGTGTGTTAGTGTGTTGTTGTGTTGTGTGGCAGCTAAAGCAGCAGGCAGCTAATCTATAAACCTGGCCCTGGGCTACTGAAGAACCTGATCTCCTTTGTGATCTGGCTGCTACATGTAATCTACATCTGTATCACTGGCTGAACAAAACAAAAACAACAACTTTCAGACAAAGATGACAAACTACACAGAGGAATATCCAGCATCTTCTCCCTTACGGAAAAAACGCATGAATTTCACATGTGAACATGTGAAGTGTTCCAAAAACACGTTTTCATGTGATCACATGTGATCTTATGTGAAGTTAATGTGATAACATGTGATAAGATGAAACTACACATGTGAAAACATGTGATCATGTGAAGTATTCCAAAAACACATGTTTTCACATGTGAAATTTCATGTGAAATCATGTGATTTTCTTCAAGGGCTCACACAGCTTCTCTGAGATGTTCCTACAACCACCGTGTCAACGCTGTTTGTTATTGGTGGCAACCCTCATTATCAATGTCCTCTGACTCAAACTAATTCATTAAACATTTCAGTAAGAGACAGCTGTTCGTCATGAATTCAACAGGAGACAGACTGAAATTAAATGCATAGACATTTTCTACTTTTTCAAGTGTCGCAGTGTACTAACAAGTGAGTGCAGTGAAGATAACTTTAATTTATTCTGTATAAACAGCCAGAAATGTGACCTAAATTCAAATACGAAAAGCTGATGAACAGATAACACCTACAGTATACTAAAAACAACAGATTTAAATTGTACAAAGGAGCATATCTCGGGACGAATCCTAACCATGGCATTATTGTTCCCTGGAGGAGGCATATTAAAAAAGGAAGAATAAAAAACGAGCATTAGTATGTAATAATGTCATGTCTCCCACCAAAAGGCTTAGATGGCAGCCATGGTGCGTAGTCCAATTTACACACAGCATGTCAGAGAAATGATTGCTCAGTTGTCTGATAGGCTGCTGGGTGTGTGAAGGTCTCCTTCTGCTAGGAACTGGCAGATCATTACAAGCAGAAAAACACATTGGCCAGGGTCTGTGTTACTCAGTCAAAGGTAAGACCAAAAGTTAGAGTCATGTACAGCAAACGCAATCTAGTAATCTAAATCACAGCAAGACAGAAAACAACAGTAGCGGCTTGACTACATTTAAACCTTTTATGGGAGGTTAAGGATGTGATTAAACTCCAAAGGCTCCCCATTAAGTGTCTGGGAGTGGACTTTCCGACTCCGTTCACAAGTCACTACAGCCCTTTCTAAGGATGTGAATTGTTTATGTGTGGTAACAGTCTGAAAGCACTGTATTCAAGTGTGTGTATCTGTATGTAGGAAGAACCACACAGTATAGCGATAGAGACATTTCTATCTCTATATATGGCTCTGCATGTACGTAAGTTGTATGCACGTCATGGTTCTTGTACTCACCGGTGGAGCAGTCGGAGCCTGTCCAGCTGGAATCACAGGTACAGGTGCCAGAGTCTGGCAGGTAGTTCCCATGGCCTGAACACTGCTCCTGGCACGCTGGAAGGGTATTCTCACAGTCTGGGCCTCCCCACCCCGGTGAACACAGGCACTCCCCCTTCACACAAACACCATGGCCAGAACACTGAGGGTCCAGGCAGTCCACTGGCCATGCAGAACCAGGGAGGTGAGAGAGAGAGGGGGTGGATGGAGGGAGCGTGAGAGAGAAAGTGAGAAAGAGAGCGCGAGAGAGAAGTGAGAGAGAAAGCGTTAGAGTAAATATTTCATGTCCCTCCCTGACCATCTGTATATTGTTTGAATCATTATTTCCTTTCCTCTAAGGGTAGGTACTGACACAAAACATCCCCATCACCCCTTTCCTCTATGGGTAGGTACTGACACAAAACATCCCCATCACACCTTTCCTCTATGGGTAGGTACTGACACAAAACATCCACATCACACCTTTACTCTATGGGTAGGTACTGACACAAAACATCCCCATCACACCTTTCCTCTATGGGTAGGTACTGACACAAAACATCCACCTCACCCCTTTCCTCTATGGGTAGGTACTGACACAAAACATCCCCATCACACATTTCCTCTATGGGTAGGTACTGACACAAAACATCCACATCACACCTTTCCTATATAGGTAGGTACTGACACAAAACATCCCCATCACACATTTCCTCTATGGGTAGGTACTGACACAAAACATCCACCTCACACCTTTCCTCTATGGGTAGGTACTGACACAAAACATCCCCATCACACATTTCCTCTATGGGTAGGTACTGACACAAAACATCCCCGTCACACCTTTCCTCTATGGGTAGGTATTGACACAAAACATCCCCTTCACACCTTTCCTTTATGGGTAGGTACTGACACAAAACATCCCCGTCACACCTTTTCTCTATGGGTAGGTACTGACACAAAACATCCACATCACACCTTTCCTCTATGGGTAGGTACTGACACAAAACATTCACATCACACCTTTCCTCTATGGGTAGGTACTGACACAAAACATCCACATCACACCTTTCCTCTATGGGTAGGTACTGACACAAAACATCCCCATCACACCTTTCCTCTATGGGTAGGTACTGACACAAAACATCCCCATCACACCTTTCCCCTATGGGTAGGTACTGACACAAAATATCCCCATCACACCTTTCCCCTATGGGTAGGTACTGACACAAAATATCCCCATCACACCTTTCCCCTATGGGTAGGTGCTATACACTGAAGAAGGCTGCAAAGCCGAAACCTCTGTGTACGCTTTCCCTGATGCAGTGAAAATAATAAAACATTTGAAAAATGAAGTAAGCTTTATGCGGACCCATCACACCTTTTGTTTGTCTAGGTACTGACACAGAACATCCCCATCACACCTTTTGTTTGTCTAGGTACTGACACAGAACATCCACATCACACCTTTTGTTTGTCTAGGTACTGACACAGAACATCCACATCACACCTTTTGTTTGTCTAGGTACTGACACAGAACATCCACATCACACCTTTTGTTTGTCTAGGTACTGACACAGAACATCCCCATCACACCTTTTGTTTGTCTAGGTACTGACACAGAACATCCACATCACACCTTTTGTTTGTCTAGGTACTGACACAGAACATCCACATCACACCTTTTGTTTGTCTAGGTACTGACACAGAACATCCCCATCACACCTCACCTCTATGGGTAGATACTGACACAAAACTCCCCATCACATCTAGCTGATTTAACACATTGTCTGTGTACTTCAGTGGTGTGTATTCTAACAGTGTCACTGTAACCTTGTGAGAACAGCGTTTCCTAGCAGTGAATGGTTTATTACTGAGAACCCATCGCACCGTGAGGAAAACATGTCCATCTGCAGCTTTTACACATTGAAACCTCTGCAGCTTTTACACACGATTCTCATAAAGAATGAACAACAAACAGCTTCAATCCATGTCTGGAGCTAATTGATCACATTTAGTTGTGATACACTTCAGAACAACCCCAACCCCCAACTAATGCACACTACAAAAAAGAAAAATCTATGCAGTGTTAACCACAGTAATTACCACAATGCTTGTAGGCTAGATCCTAGTCACAGGCTCATTGACTCAAGGTCATTCTCTAGCATGGATATCTCAGACAAAGCCAATAATTACCACTGGGTACAACTACCTTAGGACAATCAATTGATTTGGCTGCTTCATGTATAAGCATTCCTCATGACGTAAGTGAACAGCGGCGAGCGGCTGTGTGTGTGTGTGTAGAGGATAATCTATTGGATCAATCTGTTTTTGCACACAAAAACTCTCCCCATAATTAAAATGATGTGAGAGGAGGACACTGGATGTATTGTTGCTGTGGTTAAATAGTAATCAGACAATCTATCAGACAGTTTGGTGTGTGTCTGTGTGCAAAACCCCACAACAAACAGAATACTGGTTTGGCTAGTGGCTAAGAGCCCTGAACTAACAACGAGTGGCTTTTCTGGTTCAACAAACTGACGTGGCATGCTTCTGTTGTTGCACTTTGGGATAAGGGATGCACCAAGCCAAACCCCTTCGGCTAGGCTAAATGCAGATGTGCCCTATGCCTATCCCTATGCCTGTGTAAATAGTGATAAAGATTATTATTAGGATAGGACCCTTGCCTTGTTCACAGTTGTTGCCCTTATAGGCCGGGCTGCACATGCAGATGCCGTTGACACAGGTGCCATGGTTGGAGCAGGTGGGATCGATGCACTGGTCCTCCTGGATGTCACACTCTGGGCCCTTCCAGCCCGGGTGACACTGGCAGTAACCTTTCTCATAGTCTCCATTGCCACTGCACAGGACAGGACAGGAGTCTGGAAGAAAAAATACAGTACAGCAGACCTTTACAAATACTGGGTCAGAAAGTCCATGAAGACAGCAGCCCTTTACAAATACTGGGTCAGAAAGTCCATGAAGACAGTAGCCCTTTAAGAAATACTGTGGTGGAAATAAAATACTTTGGCGTGTTATCATTCAAAACCATAACTAAAACTGGTTGATATCCAATATATGAATTATGAAGCTGTTTATGTCATTCCAGCACTGGAAGGTACTAGTCAGCTCTCACCCTGAGACCCCAGTGGTGATCTCCCCATGAGCCTTATACCAGTTTTAACCAGGTTTCACCCATCACCAATATCTCACTAATAAGCATGCAGCTGAAGTAACCTAATCCTCTCCCCTGATGGTAGTTCTTTAAGTACTCTCCCCTCTGCTGGGCGCAGGCCACGCACCCCTACTCAGACCCTCTTCCTGTGAAATCCACCTAATCTCTCAATCATTTCAATTTTCCTTAAGTGGCACCTGATTTAAACTCCAGTAGCTGCGGCATGGTGCTGCAGCATCGGCATCTCCCTACAACACCCCCCTCTATTCCCCAAGGCCCCTCTGTACACCACCCACATTAAAAAATACTACAGTTTACTATAGAATACCACAGTACTTACTATCGAATTATGTAGTATACTCTAGTATACTGTAGAATACTATACTACACAATGTAGTACCCCTCGATCACGTGTAGTACTTACAATAGAATGTTGTACAGTAGTATACTGTAGAATACAATAGTAAATACTACAGTATTATCCCACCAAAAAACACTGTAGTAAACACTACAGTAATGTCCGTAAAAACACTACAGTCCGCAAAAACACTAAACTTTTTTAACTATAGTAAATACTACAGTATTTAATTTGCATATACCCTGCCCATTCCCCTCTCCATATCCCAATTTGTGCCACCCATAAGGGAGAAACCTACATGCCAAGTATAAACCATATGTTGTGTTCCCTACAGATTATAGAAAAGAGCAGAAGCTCTGAACTATCAGTTCAGAACCCAGTTCTATCTACCTACAGGTTATGGAAAATGTGCTATTGTATTATTTCTCCAGTAGGTTTCCTCAAGAAGAAGCCTCCACTTCCATGTCAAAGATAATAAAACAAACACACTACAGTAAATATTACAGTATGCTACGGTACGCAAAAACACTACAGTAAAATACTACAGTATACTACAATTCGCAAAAACACTACATTAATTACTATAGTATATATTTTATTTTACTACAGTATTTATACTATTGTTAACTGTAAATACCACAGTATACTACAGAATTCTACAGTAAATATTACAGAATTCACTTTAGTCCGCAAAAAAACTACAATGAATACTATTGTAAAGTCTGCAAAAACACTACAGTGAATAGTATAGTATTTATACCATAGTATACTATAGTATTTCTTCATGTGGGAACTCAGCGCCATGAAAATTGAGATTTACAAAATGAGGAAGAATGGAGCCTCAGAGTCTCAGAGGCTGCAGCATGGAGACGCATGGTAAACATCAGAGCAGAACGCACTGTGCTGTATAGATTCAATAGAGATCTTTGTTCACATGCCATTAACCCTATGGTGTGTAGCCTAAACACTACTCATATCACTAACATGCTGCATTTGTACATTGCCTTGCATTCCTATGCTATATTCCTAGTCTACATGTATAGGCACTCAGTCATAGTGAACCGTTTTCCAGAATGTCTTTGAAACCTGCAGAGCTACGTGAGAGAACATGGCTCCATTCTCCCATTCTCCCTTTCTCTCTTCTGCCAGGATCTCTCATCCCTCCAGTCTGTCAGTCTGTTTATGGACAGTTGCAGTGTGGAAGCTGCCTTACAGACCCTGGCCTGTCCATTAGTCTCCATAATATGTCCCAGTTCCACACTGGGAACAGTAATAGACACATTATGCTCGCTACAGTGGCTCCCTGACCTCAGATCTAGGCAGAGACAGATTAAGGCATTCGTCCAGAGCGGGTCGGCCTGGGCAGAGAGAGACCTCACTGACCACAAAGTGGATCTGAAATCACCACTGCCTCTTGCTATCCTCATTTAATTCAAAGACTGTAAATAATCCTCAAAGACAATCAAAATAATCCCATTCAGAATGGCTTTGGCATTGATAATATTGGTAGTATCCATTACGAAGCACCGGGTTTAATAAAAAAGTAGCCATTGTTATTTGACTGATTGGACTGGACTTTACTCTGCAGAATAATTAGATACTGGTAGATTTACAGAATATAAAATGTATAACTCAATTTCAACCCAATATTATGTGAGCTTTCATTATGCACAAAAATGTAATTTAAATGTGTATGAATTCATTGGAATATCCCACATATCTCAGAAGTGCCTTACTTAATATACCTTTTGAGCAGTCTGGTCCCAGGAAACCAGTGAAGCAGTGGCAGTGACCTGCTACACATTCCCCGTTCCCCTTACAGTTGGTGGAGCAGCCGTCCATGGTTTCTACAGACAGAGAAAGTTCTAAACAACACAACCGTCCATGGGCTAGACAGAAACACATAGGAAAAATATTGTGCCAAACTCAGAGTATAATGAACACTTTTACTTTGTGCATCCATTGAGACATATAATAATCTAACATGTTGCATGGGTTACAATAAGGTAACAGATACATGGTCATAAAGACAAAGAGGAAACTGACATGTACAGAACTACACTGCCTTTAAGACAACAATTCGTTTTAAAAGACAGAGCAAAAGCATTTCCAGGGGAGGCTGGAAAGAAAGAGCATTAGAAAAATACATTGGCTCATCTCTCAGCAGAGGCTTACAGACGGGTGACAAAAGGTCAGTCAATTAGGGATGACAGACTTTGCAGCACCTTGCAACGAGCAACAGAACTCAACCGTTTTGATGTTAAAATGGCAGCCTGTTTCACAAATGTTTTGTGGTGCAGAGAAAAAACGTTATAAAACATGTTTTTCTGTCTATTTGCAGCTATTGTATAAATGTTATAATTGCTTTGCTTTTTGAGTGCTTTTGTAACCACAGACTACATCCTGGAAATAATGTCACATGTACTGTCTTTTTCTTATAAGACTTCATTACTGCTCCCAAATATGATTGCATGGTGCTGCAATTTTCATTAGTAACTGACACTGTAGAGCACCTATTCTACTTTTTACACAATGAGGAGCCAATTACCGATGGCAGTGCTGAGAACAAGCACTTGTTCCATTTTCTTTCCATCGTTGTAGAATGCCAGGTACCAGGTTCCAGCGTCCATGTACTCTATGAAGCCAGTCTCCTGGAGGGAGGCCAGGATCAGGTTCCTGGGAGAGGCGTTGGAATCCTCCGCCACCGTCTGAACCTCCTGTCTGATCAGCTGCTTCCCGTCCAGGAGCTTGACAAAGTCAAACTGCAGGAGGATGAGAAAACATCTGATTAAATATGAGGCAACGATTTGGAAGTCAAAAGCTGAGACATCACAAGCTTCTGGTTGGGTGTACTGACATGCCCTGACTGACAGGGAGTATCAGGGTTCCTCCAACGTCACAGCATGGATATCTATCTCTGGGAACAGGCCAAAATATGAAATCATCATGTGCTGTATCATATCCTGTCATCCATCTTAAAATAACTTGAACTTAACCATATGCAAAGCTCCCGAGCCACCTTTTGACTTTGCCCTTGATGAGCTTAATAAGGAGACAGGCCCCCATGCTGCATTGCTGGATTACCAGATGAGTAGGATATGACAGTAGCCCTGGGCGGGATGCAGTGCCTTAGCTGCGCCAGTGTCACTCATGTTTGTGTGTGCTCTTGGAGATAAGCCGAGACCAGGGCTGGTATTACGCTGCTGTCGGCTGGTGACTGCATGCAGCAAAGCCTCTCCGCCTGCCGGATTCAGAGGGACGTCTGTCTTCACCCCTCCACCCGTCCTAAATAATAAACCCAGGGCTGGGTGAGGCCAGGTCCCTAACTCCAATGACATGCCCCCAGGCCTCAGAATTATTCTTATGAGAAACAAATGCTCCCCTACGGAACAACAGGAAAACGATGTTTGTAATTCAGTAGAATCGCTGGGGCACCGTAGCCATCGGCCCCTGCATTTCAAATCATCAGCAATGCAAAGCAGCAGAGGAGGAGACAGAGGAGGGATCCCACTCCCTCCATAATTCACTTTCAGCCGGGGATCAGCACATGATGACACACTGAAGCGGAAATGGCCACTGTCGTTCCCGCTACAATCCCCTCGGCGCCAATAGTGACAAAATCTCATTGGAAGAAAAAAAAGTCTGAACTGTGCGTGCCGCCCAGGGGACTGACTCAGATTAATGACTAAAACATCCTATTAGGATTCATCATGCGGAAGCCTGCTGGGTTTACTGGGGCCGGTGAAACAGCTTTGTGACAGATGAGTCACTTGTGTGCAGGTCTCACCGTGACCCTGAGTGCTCAGCCCCATGACCTGCTGGGTATTCTATCAGCAGATGTAATGAGGGCCGGTCCGGGGGAACATATGTGTGACTGCATGCAGGGGCCAAAAACAGAACTGGGATCAACCGAATCAGCCGACCTGGCTGACAGAGACATCTAATGATGGTGTGAGATTAGTCAGCCCCACTCAGACAGGACTTGAATATGGTCCAACATACAGTTAGCAGGCTATATGCCAAGTGTGATTACTATAATGATTATGAGCATCCTTACGGAACAAAAAGGACGTCTGTGTTTAAAAAGGCACCTTTCAATTAGCATTAATTAATTGTTTGTCTGTATCCATGTACCTACATATGCAAAATAGTATGCAATAGAGGCAGAAATAAGAAGGATTTAATTGAATTGACAGGTCTTAATTTCTAGAATGATTTGAACTGTTAATCTTAGATAATATATATGCTAAGAAGCAGTGATTATGCAGTTCAGGCATTTTACTGACATCACATTAGTTCCCCTAGATATTTCATTAACTGCATTCATTCCATAACAATAAACTACATACATTGAAACTCATTATGCATTTGACAAAAGTACTGGTAGGTAGCCAACAGTACTGTAGCTAATTCACTGATTGGTGAAGTGATCAAACATAACATAAAGGCAACACACCTGCTTGGTCCAATTTTCTATTGTGGGTTTCAATGTGGGTGAAGAGTGAGACTGAAGGATGACAGATGGATGGAGGAGGAAAGGTAGTTGTGCGTAGGGGCTGGGGTACACTCATTAGCATGGGGGGTGGTGTGGATCTGTGCATGTGTGGATCTGTGCATATACCTAGGTGTGCATATAGTTACTTATGTGTGTTGGGGTGTTTCAGTCATTGTATAGGTTGGTATGATCGTTTACATGGGAGTGGATGTAATGCTCTTGTGTGTATGAGGTAGGTAGGGGGTACAGTACCTGTGTGTGTGTAGGGGGGATGTTCCTCCGCCCATAGATCCCCAAGAGGGCATCCCGTGCCAGGGAGACGTTGAACTTGACATACTTAGGGTGGTGGATGGTGATGTGGAAACGCCAGAACAGACCTGGGGGAATGGCCTGGATCACCTCGGTACCAATGTCCACCTCCCCTCGGTCTATCGCTTTCCCCCTCTGGAATAGCTCCTTATCTATATGGTGTGGGGAAAAAACACACAAATGAGAACAGCGGCTGTTGCTGCATGTAGATATTGGCTATCCCCCTTTACCTCTATCAGGCAGACTTTAATCTGTTTCATTTCATTGCCTCAACTAATAAATCCTCCTCTGTCCTTTGGGAAACATTTTATCCTCATTGTCAGATGAAGCCTTGCATCTGCTCAAACTTGAGCTAAACAACTGTGAACAGACACAGAAACGAACCACATCTAATATGGTGTAATACTATGGTGAATCCAGGAGAAGACCAGCAAGCTACCGGATGCTTGTACAAACACCTCCCACATCCAGGCATGAACTAATTATTCTGTGCTGATAACCTCTGGCGTGAGCTCTCTGGCAGGTACGCCAACACATCAGGGTGTCACATTATTGATTCCCGCTCTCATGGCGGGTAACATGAGATCAGTTCTACTGTACACATTAAGCTATATTCTATCTGTTTTGTGTCTTCTTACCTTCACATTACTCACTGTACATAGCTCTGGAAACCACATGTTTTTAAATGTGCTTTTATTGTATGTATGGAACATTAAAAAGCATCTAAATCACATACATGTCTAGAGTCTAGTTATCGAATGACATGGATTGATCACACGTTAGCCTCGGCAACAACCTTTTGAAAAAGACTGGTTCAGTAATCATAGAAACTGGGCTCTTTTAGTAGAAAACCCCCCACCAGACTGGAGCAGGTGAACAAGGTAATGGTAGTGTTACTGTGTTGCTACCATAATGGTTTTACTAGCTCAATCACTGTATAGCTGTGTGATGCTGTTCTGGAGAGGTGGTGTTTGGTCTGTGCCACTGCCACCACAGAACCCATCACAGGGTAATGAAGGCATATCTAGCTCATGCCTCTCCTGCAGGCCATCTCACCTGTCACTTACACTGGGTTCAGAGGAGGGGGCAGAAAATAAATTAGAAAAGTGCTTCAAAATAGTCTGACATACAAGCAAATTAATTCTCATAGCCTAAGGGCTATCCTGATAAAACAATTATTCCAGTAATCCATTTTCAATGAAACCGTCTTTTCAATTACAGTTATAATTCCCCCCCCTCACTTTAATGGACATCTGAATAGAACAAGCTTTTAATACTTGGGTCTGTCTGTTGATTGAGCCAATGCAAAATAATATGGTTATTCTATTTGCTGTAATCCCTCAGATATAATAATAATAATAATATGCCATTTTGCAGACGCTTTTATCCAAAGCGACTTACAGTCATGTGCGCATACATTTTTACGTATGGGTGGTCCCGGGGATCGAACCCACTACCCTGGTGTTACAAGCGCCATGCTCTACCAATTGAGCTACAGAGGACCACAGATATATGCTGAGAATAATCTAATTGCTATTCTAAAGAACATCTGCAAACCAATTACAGGACCAATTATATATAGAGGAATGGGCCAACACAACATGCTATGGGAAGTGCCCTCTAAAATATTTCAACCAACATCCCACCTCGTTTTAATGCTTCTCGTGTTTCTGCAAATGATATAACCCACTGGGCAAAAACTGGTTGAATCAACATGGTTTCCATGTCATTTCAACAACAAAAAATATATATGTGATGATGTTGAATCAACGTGGAAAACTGATTGGAATTTTGTCTTTTTTTCAACCAACTTTTAACCTAAAAAGGTTGGTAAAATTCCTAAAGTACCTACACGTATCATCATGAAATGAAACTGGAAGCAGTTTGAGACACATGGTTTTTAACATTGCCTGGAATAGAGGAAATTGAATGCTTTGTGGGTTAAAGCAAGAAGGTCTGATTCAGCTGATGATTGGATGGCTTTTAAACACCTCAGAATCAGGGTGTGGCTATGACCTTAAAGCTGAAAGCAGACCACTACCTCAAATCTACTGCTGATAATCTGAATAATCCTTTCAAATATTGGCAAGTAGTGAACAACTCCCTAAACAACTGCTGGTTGACTCACAGGTGGTAACTGAGAGAACCTCTATTCTGAACTCTTTTAATCAACATTTCCTTGATGCAGGCAGATTATTTGATAGGGTTAAAAGTCAACATGAGCCCCCTGTGAAATTACCTGACACTCCCGAGCACTCCATCTCCAGTTTCTCCTTCTCGCCCTTATCTGTCTCAGAGGTGTGTAGAGCCCTGAAAGCAATTGATGTAAAAAAAAATCCCCTGGCCCTGATGATCTAGACCTCCGCCTACTACAACTGGCTGAAGATATCATTGCTCCCCCTTTAACATACATCTTTAACCTCCCCATAAAATGTAATGAAATCCCCAAGTTGTGGAAATTATTTGTCCTACCTCTTTTGAAAGAAGGTGATCCCACTCTACTGAATAACTATCGGCCCATATCTAAATAGTATGTTCTGACAAAGGTATTGGAGTCCCTAGTCAACAAGCAGCTTAAGGCCTACCTCCAGGAAAACAATATTTTGAGTGGTATGCAATCAGGTTTCAGGTCTAGCCACAGCACTGTCACAGCAACTTTTAATGTTTTGAATGATATTCATTGTGCCCTGGATAAGAAGCTGCATTGTGTATCTCTATTCATAGACTTGTCAAAGGCATTTGTGACAGTGGACCCCACTGTCTTGGTGCAGAGATTTAAGCGTATTGGGATTACTGGTCATACTCTGGAGTGGTTTGTGAACCCAGTGTGTTAAGGCAGACGGTTGTCGGACACCGTAGAGTTGTGCTCGGGTGTGCCTCAAAGATACATTTTAGGTCCCCTGTTGTTTATTTTCTATATCAACAACATTGGGAGACATAATTGAGACAGCTGATGTAAATTTTTATGCAGATGACCCTTTTCTCTAGTCAAGTGGCAGCAGTTTGACTTTGACAGCAGACAGCTTTTAACATCATTCAACAGAATCTGTACGATTTTAAGCTTGTTCTGAATTCCTCTAAAACAAAATGAATGGTATTTTCCAATACTAATCACCCTGAAAACCATGTAATTACTACCTTGGAAGGACATTCTATAGAGCAAGTCAAAATGTACAAATATCTGGGAGTTTGGGCGGATGAGAAGTTGAGATTCACCACCCATGTAGAGAACATTGTCACGAAACTCAAGCTGCTGCATATTGGGTTTTATTACCGGCACAAAGCTTGTTTTTCTTTTGCTGCCAGAAAATAGTTGATTCGTTGTACTTTTCTCTCTGTGTATTTATGTGCAAGCCTCAAGCTCTAAACTGAAGGCTCTTGACTCTGTGTATCATGCAGCCCTTCATTTTGTCACCAATCAGAGACGTCTAACTCACCATTGTGATCTCTACAGTGCTGTCGGGTGGACATCCCTAGCAACACGCAGGCTCAAACACTGGTACATTCTTATTTATACTGAACAAAAATATAAACTCAACATGCAACAATTTCAATGATTTTACTGAGTTACAGTTCATATAAGGAAATCAGTCAATTGAAATAAATTCATTAGGCCCTAATCTATGGATTTCACATGACTGGGATTACAGATATGCATCTGTTGGTCACAGATACCTTAAAAAAAGGTAGGGGTGTGGATCAGAAAACTAGTCAGTATCTGGTGTGACCACAATTTGCCTCATGCAGCGCAACACATCTTCATCGCATGGAGTTAATCAGGCTGTTGATTGTGGCCTGAGGAATGTTGTCCCACTCCTCTTCAATGGCTTTGCGAAGTTGCTGGATATTGGTGGGAAATGGAACACGCTGTCGTACACGTCGACCCAGAGCATCCAAAACATGCTCAATGGGTGACATGTCTGGTGAGTATGCAGGCCATGGAAGAACTGGGACATTTTCAGCTTCCAAGAATTGTGTACAGATCATTGTGACATGGGGCCGTGCATTATCATGTTGAAACATGAGGTGATGGCGGTGGATGAATTGCACGATAATGGGCCTCAGGATCTTATCACGGTATCTCTGTGCATTCAAATTGCCATCTCTAAAATGCAATTTTGTTCGTTGTCAGTAGCTTATGCCTGCCGATATCATAACCCTACCGCCACCATGGGCCATTCTGTTCACAACGTTGACATCAGCAAACCGCTCGCCCACACGACGCCATACACGTGGTCTATGATTCTGAGGCCAGTTGGACGTACTGCCAAATTCTCTAAAACAACGTTGGAGGTGGCTTATGGTAGAGAAATTAACATTACATTCTCTGGCAACAGCTCTGGTGGACATTCCTGCAGTCAGTATGCCAATTGCACACTCCCTCAAAACTTGAAACATTTGTGACATCGTGTTGTGTGAGAAAACTGCACATTTTAGAGAGGCCTTTTATTGTCCGTAGCACAAAGTGCACCTGTGTAATGATCATGCTGTTTAATCAGCTTCTTGATATGCCACACTTGTTAGGTGGATGGATTATCTTGGCAAAGGACAAATGCTCACTAACAGGGAGGTAAACACATTTGTGCACAAAATCTGAGAGAAATAAGCTTTTTGTGCGTATGGAAAATTTCTGGGATCTTTTATTTCAGCTCATGAAACATGGAACTAACACTTTACATGTTGCGTTTATATTTTTGTTCAGTATATAAGGCCATTTTAGGAAAACTGCCATTTTATCTATCCTCTCTTGTAGCTTGAAATGAAAACACATACAAGCTCAGATCTCAATCTTGTTTTATGCTAACAGTCCCGAAAATTAGAACCGAGTATGGAAAAAGGTCCTTTCATTACTCAGCCCCCTGGTCTTGGACCTGGTGTCCCTGGAAGAGTTCAAATGAGAAATAGATTAACAGGTTGTTGAGACATGTAGTTGTTTCTAGTTGTCACCCGATGTCACTAGTTTGCGTTGCCTTGTGTAAGGAAAACAGGAGGTTAATGGCACCTTAATTGGGGAGGACGGGCTCGTGGTAATGGCGGGAGAGGAATGAGTAGAATGGTATCAAACACATCAAACACATAGTTTCCATGTGTTTGATGCCATTATGAGCTGTCCTCCCCTCAACAGCCTCCTGTTGTAAGGAAGCATGTTGTTTTACTTCACACACACACACACACTCACTGTTTGTTTGCTGTTGTATTTCTGCTGTTGCCAGTTTCTTCTGTGCATGTTGTCGTTTATTTTTATTATTTTCTTAGCACCCATCCTCACAGGAGCCTTTTGCCTCTTGCCGTCATTGTAAATAATAATTTGTTCTTAATTGACTTTAATGGTTAAATAAATGTTAAATAAATAAATAAAATAAAGAATGTGCCAATGTTCTAAGAAAATTCCCAGAACTTAGAAATACCAATGAAAGAGAAGAAAGAGAAAAATACATAATACTTATCTAAGGGGTTATAATTCCTTGTTTCAGCCTTCACTAAGGTAAAGGCCTAAAGTAGATATACTGTCATGTCATTGAGCATTCCAGTGCACCGCTAGATACTAATCCTTTGTGTTTGTTTTGTAGAATAGGGAGGTTGTGAAGGGGTGCTGGCTGAAGGATCTATGTTCTGAAAGAGTTAACGATGATGCTGTGGGCTGTAGCCTGCTAGGGGATTAAGCCACGCTCTCTTACTTTAATTAACTGCCCATGAAGCTCCTCCTGATTACTTCATAGTCAATGCATGCTAATGTGACCCAGCACAGCTATGCTACATTGTACCAGCCACATAGTGCACATAGCCTTATACACTGTGTCAATCTAGCAGTACTACCTGCAGTGTTTCCTATTCCTCCGCTGTCAGAGGGCTATGATATGGAAATACTGAAACTCAGACACCAAGCTTTTACTGAGATTCATTATGTGCTTATGCAGGGGCAATCCAATATTTTCATAACTGATTTGATTTTAATCTACTCTTCAACATTGCCCTAGTTGCAGAGAACATTTTCTGGTTCACACACTTATAGAAATGGAATTGAATTATGTGGAATGGAACTGAATTATTTCACTCATTGCCAATATGGAATTGTCTGCGGTGTTTGGGACCCCAGGGTTGGTCTGGTGTTATTGGAATAATTATATTTCTCTATCTCAATGATTCTATGAGTTTATTTTTCGGAAGTGGGAAATTTCTATAATCAGATCTTTATCGTGCTAATGGAGGCAATGCCCTGCGAACACGAGGCGTTTTAACTCGGGGATGACCTGTGCATCACCCACCCACCTACAGTACCGCACTCCTTTATCTGAAACGCAATTCAGCATCGCACAAGAGGAAAATAATGATCCCTGTCGGAACATATTGCACCCAACATGCTGGTTATGAAACAACAGGTTTATCATGTAAACACAGAGAAAGACAACTAGGATGAGAGAGCCCATCGAAAACCTTCTGAGGTAAAACCCTTGCTCTAGTTTTTGTTGCGTGGTCTAACAGTGAGAATCAAAACCTAGAGGCTTGATAATATAAATCTTTGCCCGCCACCACTTACCTTTGTTGGTGTTGTTGAGGCCGGGCAAACCGAAGGGAGTGAAGGTTATGTCTATGCTCTCTGAGTTTCTGTCCAGTTTGCTGAGTCCATTCTCATAGAGCTGCCCATCCACTGGCTGCAGGTGCCAGGTCAGCCCAAACAAGTGCACTGCTGTAGGGGAGAGCCATGGTTTAGCATGGGGCGGGAGGATTAGTGCTAGAAAGAGAAACTCAGGGCATTAATCATTCAAAACCTAAGAGTAAGACATCTGATTAAACCTGGCTGCAGCAGACACAGTAACTAACTACAGTATGGATGTGCTACTGGTTCCTGCACTTTGGCTGTACATTACAATTGTAGTTATTTGACAGAGGACTAGTCATTAGGGCTGGGAGCGAGACACAGTAACATAGTGTTTCTAAGACATTCTGCTGCTCCTATGCTTATTACAACACCATAAAGCAATTGTACATCATTATCATGCCATTTTTCACCTTTGATTCATGTCAACTTCACTGACTTTTCATCTACTACATCCAAATGTGATGAAACAAACCAAAAAAGCTTAATTTTTTACTAGATATAAGACTGGTAGCTTACAGTATGAGGTTCATGAAATCTATTTAATGGAATATTGATAAGTAGCCATCTAATCTCCAAAGAAAGGGGGATAAACTATGTGCCTCTCTAAGTAATGGATTAAAGAAAACCAATATGGTCAAAATTAAAAATGTATTTCATGTGCGGCTACGGAATGGAATGAATTGAGAAAGATTCAAAAATTAAATTCCCCCACCACAATGTTTGGCTCATCATTTCCAATGCGTCAAAATAGAGATCCCTTATGTAGTTCCATTCCCAGTAATCCAGGGAGCATTTCTAAGAATGGCAGAGCCAGTTCCCCACTGGGATAATTTGGAAGTAATTTAAATAGTTAAAAGAATTCAAGAAAGTTCAGTAATTTAAACACATCACACCTCTCATGGTTTCCCAATCTACAATAGGCAAATCTTTGCATTAGGATGCACCACAACACTAGGCGCTATAATAACGTAGGAGTGGTTAAACAAAGGTGAACAATGTGCCGGACCCCAGAAAGACTAGCTGTCGTCATGGCGTCAGCTAATGGGTATCCTAATCAAATCAAAATCAAACCAAACAAAGGCATAACACACACAGAGACATGCAATAACTACACTGAACAAATATATAAATGCAACATGCAATAATTTCAAAGATTTTACTGAGTTACAGTTCATATAAGGAAATCACATGACTGGGAATACAGATATTCATCTGTTGGTCACAGATACCTTTAAGAAAAAGGTAGGGGTGTGGATCAGAAAACCAGTCAGTATCTGGTGTGACCCCCATTTTCCTCATGCAGCACGACACATCTCCTTCGCATAGAGTTGATCAGGCTGTTGATTGTGGCCTGTGGAATGTTGTCCCACTGCTCTTCAATGGCTGTGCGAACTTGCTGGATATTGGTGGGAACAGGAACACGCTGTCGTACACGTCGATCCAGAGCATCCCAAATATGCTCAATGGGTGACATGTCTGGTGAGTATGCAGGCTGTGGAAGAACTGGGACATTTTCAGCTTCCAGGAATTGTGTGCAGATCCTTGTGACATGGGGCTGTGCATTATCATGCTGAAACATGAGGTGATGGCGGCAGATGAATGGCACGACAATGGGCCTCAGGATCTCGTCATGGTATCTTTGTGCATTCAAATTGCCATCGATAAAATGCAATTGTGTTCGTTGTCCGTAGCTTATGCCTGCCCATACCATATCCCCACCACCACCATGGGGCACTCTGTTCACAACGTTGAAATCAGCAAACCGCTCACCCACACGACGCCATACACGCACACTATCTGCCCGGTACAGTTGAAACCGGGATTCATCCGTGAAGAGCACACTTCTCCAGCGTTCCAGTGGCCATTCGAAGGTGAGCATTTGCCCACTGAAGTCGGTTACAACACCAAACTTCAGTCAGGTCAAGACCCTGGTGAGGACGACGAGCACGCAGATTAGCTTCCCGAGACGTTTTTTGACGGTTTGTGCAGAAATTCTGTGGTTGTGCAAACCCACAGTTTCATCAGCTGTCCAGGTGGCTGGTCTCAGACAATCCCGCAGGTGAAGAAGACAGATGTGGAGGTCCTGGGCTGGCGTAGTTACACGCGGTCTGCGGTTGTGAGGCTGGTTGGGACTTACGGCCAAATTCTCTACAACGATGTTGGAGGGGGCATATGGTAGAGAAATTAATATTAAATTCTCTGGCAACAGCTCTGGTGGACATTCCTGCAGTCAGCATGCCAATTGCACACTCCCTCAAAATTTGAGCGATCAAATCAAATCAAATTGTATTTGTCACAATGCAAATAGTCCGGGTATGCATTTGATTAGCTGTTCAGGAGTCTTATGGCTTTGGGGTAGAAGCTGTTAAGAAGCCATTTTGGACCTAGACTTGGTGCTCCGGTATCTCTTGTCGTGCGGTAGCAGAAAGAACAGTCTATGACTAGGGTGGCTGGAGTCTTTGACAATTTTTAGGGCCTTCCTCTGACACCGCCTGGTATAGAGGTCCTGGATGGCAGGAAGCTTGGCCCCAGTGATGTACTAGACCGTACGCACTACCCTCTGCGGTCAGAGGCCAAGCAGTTGCCATACCAGGCAGTGACGCAACCAGTCAGGATGCTCTCGATCGTGCAGCTGTACAACTTTTTGAGGATCTGAGGACCCATGCCGAATCTTTTCAGTCTCCTGAGGGGGAATAGTCTTTGTCGTGCACTCTTCACGACTGTCTTGGTGTGTTTGGACCATGATAGTTTGTTGATGATGTGGACACCAAGGAACTTGAAGCTCTCAACCTGCTCCACTAAAGCTCCGTCGATGAGAATGGGGGCTGTAGCGGAGCCGGTTGAGAGCTTCAAGTTCCTTAGTGCCACATTACCACAATCACAATTGTGTCATCGGCAAACGTAATGATGGTGTTGGAGTCGTGCCTGGCCATGCAGTCATGGGTGTACAGGGAGTACAGCAGGGGACTGAGCACGCACCCCTGAGGGGCCCCCGTATTGAGGTTCAGCGTGGCAGATGTGTTGTTACCTACCCTTACCACCTGGGGGCGGCCCATCAGGAAGTCCAGGATCCAGTTGTAGAGGGAGGTGTTTAGACCCAGGGTCCTTAGCTTAGTGATGAGCTTTGAGGGCATGGTGTTGAATGCTGAGCTGTAGTCAATGAATAGCATTCTCACATAGGTGTTCCTTTTGTCCAGGTGGGAAAGGGCAGTGTGGAGTGCAATAGAGATTGCATCATCTGTGGATCTGTTGGGGCGGTATGCAAATTGGAGTGGGTCTAGGGTTTCTGGGATAATGGTGTTGATGTGAGCCATGACCAGCTTTTCATAGCACTTCATGGCTACAGACGTGAGTGCTACGGGTCGGTAGTCATTTAGGCAGGTTACCTTAGTGTTCTTGGGCAAAGGGACTACGGTGGTCTGCTTGAAACATGTTGGCATTACAGACTCAGTCAGGGACAGGTTGAAAATGTCAGTGAAGACACTTGCCAGTTGGTCAGCACATGCTCGGAGTACACATCCTGGTAATCCATCTGGCCCTGCGGCCTTGTGAATGTTGACCAGTTTAAAGGTCTTACTCACATCGGCTACGGAGAGCGTGATCAAACAGTCGTCCGGAACAGCTGATGCTCTCATGCATGCTTCAGTGTTGCTTGCCTCGAAGCGAGCATAGAAGTAATTTAGCTCATCTGGTAGGCTCGTGTCACCGGGCAGCTCGCGGCTGTGCTTCCCTTCATAGTCTGTAATAGATTGCAAGTCCTGCCACATCCGACGAGCGTCGGAGCCAGTGTAGTACGATTCAATCTTAGTCCTGTATTGACGCTTAGCTTGTTTGATGGTTCGTCGGAGGGCATAGTGGGATTTCTTCTAAGCATCCGGGTTAGAGTCCCGCTCCTTGAAAGTGGCAGCTCTACCTTTTAGCTCAGTGCGGAGGTTTCCTGTAATCCATGGCTTCTGGTTGGGGTACGTACGGTCACTTTGGGGACGACGTCATCGATGCACTTATAGATGAAGCCAGCGACTGATGTGGTGTACTCCTCAATGCCATCGGAAGAATCCCGGAACATATCCCAGTCTGTGCTAGCAAAACAGTCCTGTAGCTTAGCATCTGCGTCATCTGACCACTTCTTTATTGACCGAGTCACTGGTGCTTCCTGCTTTAGTTTTTGCTTGTAAGCAGGAATCAGGAGGATAGAGTTATGGTGAGATTTGCCTAATGGAGGGCGAGGAAGAGCTTTGTATGCATCTCTGTGTGTGGAGTAAAGGTGGTCTAGAGTTTTTTTTCCCTCTGGTTGCACATTTAACATGCTGGTAGAAATGAGGTAAAACGGATTCAAGTTTCCCTGCATTAAAGTCCCCGGCCACTAGGAGCGCCAGCTCTGGGTGAGCGTTTTCCTGTTTGCTTATGGCCTTATACAGCTCATTGAGTGCAGTCTTAGTGCCAGCATCGGTTTGTGGTGGTAAATAGACAGCTATGAAAAATATAGATGAAAACTCTCTTGGTAAATAGTGTGGTCTACAGCTTATCATGAGATACTCAACCTCAGGTGAGCAAAACCTCGAGACTTCCTTAAATCAAATTTCGTGCACCAGATGTTGTTTACAAATATACACAGACCGCCACCCCTTGTCTTACCGGAGGCAGCTGTTCTATCTTGCCAATGCAGCGTATATCCCGCCAGCTGTATGTTATCCATGTCGTCGTTCAGCCACGATTCGGTGAAACATAAGATATTACAGCTTTTAATGTCCCATTGGTAGGATATCTGTGATCGTAGTTCGTCTATTTTGTTATCCAATGATTGTACGTTGGCTAATAGGACTGATGGTAGAGGCAGATTACCCACTCGCCGTCGGATCCTTACAAAGCACCCGGACCTACGTCCCCGATATCTCTGTCTCTTTCTCATGCGAATGAGGGGATTTGTGCCTTGTCGGGTGTCTGAAGAAAATCCTTTGCGTCCGACTCGTTTAAGAAAAAATTGTTGTCCAGCACGAGGTGAGTAATCGCTGTCCTGATATCCAGAAGCACTTTTAGGTCATAAGAGACGGTGGCAGAAACATTATGTACAAAATAAGTTACAAATAACACGAAAAAACACACACAATATCACAATTGATTAGGAGCCCATAAAACGGCAGCCATCTGCTCCGGCCCCATTCTAAACAAGATCTGTGACATTGTGTTGTGTGGCCTTTTATTGCCCCCAGCACAAGGTGCACCTGTGTACCTTGTGATCATGCTGTTTAATCAGCTTCTTGATATGCCACACCTGTCAGGTGGATGGATTATCTTGGCAAAGGAGAAATGCTCACTAACAGGGATGTAAACAAATTTGTGCACAACATTTTAGAGAAATAAGCTTTTTGTGCGTATGGAACATTTCTACGATCTTTCATTTCAGCTTATGAAACATGGGACCAACACTTTACATGTTGCGTATATATTTTTGTTCAGTATAAATTCAAAACAAAACAGAAACACCTAACTACCAAAGGGAGAGAGGAGAGCAGGATAATTAGCAGCTAACTACTATACCACCCGTTTCATAAGCCTTAACAAACCACTAACCCAGCATGACTCCTCTGCACTGATTAGCCATGGTGGAGAGAGAGTGTGTTTTTCAGAAAGGTGCTGCTCTGTATAACAGCCATTCACTCACTAGTGCAGCATTTAGATACGCAGATCAATATAATTCACCCCAGACTGCTTCAAAGCATTTTCCTTTTCATCTGTTTTTAAAACGCAGCTAGGCCAGTCATATTGGGGGAAGGTCTTAAAGAATGCCTGTTGAAAAATATAGTTTTTTTTAAGCAGCCAGCTGAGAGGGAATGCCTAATTAGAGTGAAAGTAGTTCACACCAATTTGCATCTGTTTTACATATTCAGTGGAAGAATAATTGATTGTACCTGCTTTTAAAATGTATAATGCATATAATGATTATGCAGTTTAGAGGGAAGAATTAGATTAAACTCTTGTCCTCTACTTGGGTAGACCCAGAGAAACAGACAGCTGTATAGTTGTCATGAAATTGAGAGAGAAACATATCGCCACAATAATAGATAAGAGTTTTGTTTGGGGTCTGCCAATAATGAGGCAGAGATGATTTGATTAGATATTCTCTGTAAATAAGAAAGAGAGGGAATGTTTGGCTCAGGAGTCAACTACAGTGTCCTCTTTATTAAGCTGCTTTGATGTCACGCCCTGGCTCTGGGGACTCTTATATGTTGAGCCAGGGTGTGGATTTTCTATGTTTTGTTTTCTATGTTTTTGGTTCTAGATCGTGTTGATCTATGTTGGCCATGGTGGTTCCCAATCAGAGACAGCTGTAGCTCGTTGTCTCTGATTGGGGACCATACTTAGGCAGCCTGTTTTCACTAGTTTGGTGTGGGATCTTGTTCCGTAGGGTTTTGTGTATAACCTAGGACTTCACGTATCGTTTGGTTTATTGTTTTGGTTCGTGTGTGTACACAAATAAAGAATGTACGCTTATCACGCTGCGCCTTGGTCCGCTTCATCTGTCGACGATCGTGACATTTGAACTATTGTCTTGTAACTTGTTAATTGATTCAGGCCAAACCGTATAATCACATTATGATCCTCTTGTTGCTAATAAACAGAAATAATAATCCCCTACAATAGTTTTTGCTCTACAGGAAAATAAATGGACATTGAAAAATAAATGATGAATCAACAAAGTAATGTATTCTCCAATGCACCAACACAACCCAAAACTAATATGCTGTGTACAAATTAGGTCTGGTGTAAAAGTACAACATGTACATTTTAGAACTCTACCCAGTGTTTCCCATAAACACATGATAGTATGAGATGTGACTTTTAAAGGACCATAGACCTAAATAGCTACTTGCACCTTCAGGTCTTTCCACCGCACATTTATGATGAGTCTTATTCCAATTTAGAGGCATAAAGTAGAGCAAACCCAGTGCTAAATGCCTAAAGCATCACACTGCCCAATTATGTTTTATCAATAGCTGTTATCCTTTGACAGGCAACGCTGTAAACTTGTCAGTGAGTGTGCCCAGAAAGAATGAAATCGCAAAACACACGACCCGCATGTTTGGAGGGCAAAATTAGGTTATATTCAACAGTTGACCCACCACACTGGGTCCCCACGACGATACCATTGTCTTAAAGTAGCTACAAATCAGGGCTTTATCCATGTGATAGTGAGATTACTGGGGGCATCAGTTTGCATTACTCTGTATTGGTGCCCTGCAGAGATCTGTGGGAAGACTTTGGCGAGGGGTAATGAAAAGCAAGCGCTGGATTGGATTCTCAGCAGGGGGCTGGATGTGCAGGATCCAACACCACTCTTGTTTCAAACAGACCGGGAATCCAATGAGTATTTTTCTAAACGCAGTTCAGTTCACAGACTAAAAGCATCACATGGAACTGGCTGCCTCCCACACCATATTAGCTAACGAGTTACTATTAGTAGTACTAGTAGTGGTACAACTGAGCAGTTGCAGTAGTAATAGTTGAAGCTGGGTAAAGTAGTATTTACTTCCACTGACTTACAGTGCATGTTTCTACAACTTGATTGGAGTCCACTTGTGGTACATTTAATTGATTGGACAATATTTGGAAAGGCACACACCTACCTAAGGTCCCACAGTTGACAGTGCAATGTCAGAGCAAAAACCAAGCCATGAGGTCGAAGGAATTGTCTGTAGAGCTCCGAGACAGGATTGTATCGAGGCACAGATCTGGGGAAGGGTACCACAACATTTCTGCAGCATTGAAGGTCCCCAGGAACACAGTAGCCTCCATCATTCTTAAATGGAAGAAGTTTGGAACCACCAAGACTCTTCCTAGAGCTGGCCGCCCAGCCAAACTGAGCAATCGGGGGAGAAGGGCCTTGGTCAGAGAGGTGACCAAGAACCTGATGGTCACTCTGACAGAGCTCCAGAGTTCCTCTGTGGAGATGGGAGAACCTTCCCGAAGGACAACCATCTCTGCTGCACTCCACCAATCAGGCCTTTATGGTAGAGTGGCCAGACGGAAGCCACTCCTCAGTAAAAGGCATATGACAGCCCGCTTGGAGTTTGCCAAAAGGCACCTAAAGGACTCTCAGACCATGAGAAACGAGATTCTCTGGTCTGAGGAAACCAAGATTGAACTCTTTGGCCTGAATGCCAAGCGTCACATCTGGAGGAAACCTGGCACCATCCCTACGGTGAAGCATGGTGGTGGCAGCATCATGCTGTGGGGATGTTTTTCAGCGGCAGTGACTGGGAGAGTAGTCAGGATCGAGGGAAAGATGAACGGGCCAAAGTACAGAGAGATCCCTGATGAAAACCTGCTCCAGAGCACTCAGGACCTTAGACTGGGGTGTAATTAATAACTTCACCATGCTCAAAGGGATATTCAATGTCTGCTTTTTTACTTTTACCCATCTACCAATAGGTGCCCTTAGCGAGGCATTGGAAAACCTACCTGGTCTTTGTGGTTGAATCTGTGTTTGAAATTGACTGCTCGACTGAGGGACCTTACAGATAATTTTATGTGTGGGGTACAGATGAGATAGTCATTCAAAAATCATGTTAAACACTATTATTGCACACAGAGTGAGTCCATGCAACTTATTATTTGACTTGTTAAGCAAACCTTTACTCCTGAACTTATTTAGGCTTGCCATAAGAAAGGGATTTAATACTTATTGACTCAAGACATATCAGCTTTTCGTTTTGATTAATTTGTAAAATTATGGAGTATTGTGTGTAGGCCAGTGACACAAAATCTTAATTTAATCAATTTTAAATTCAAGCTGTAACACAACAACATTTGGAAAAGGTCAAGGGGTGTGAATACTTTCTGAAGGCTCTCTATACAGTAGGACCAGAACCCAAAGAATTATGCCACTATAATTTCAAAAGGAGGATGGAATTGCATTGATTTGCATTAAAGCTATGGGACACAGTCACCTACAGTAACATTAGCAGCAACTCATCTGAAAGTAAAGACCTGCTTAATCAGGTGAGACCCCATATTGGCACGGTAACACCAGAGGACAAAACATGAAAGGTTTTATTTTTTTATTTTATTTAACCTTTATTTAGCTAGGCAAGTCGGTTAAGAACAAATTCTTATTTACAATGACGGCCTACACCGGCCAAACCCAGACGACGCTGGGCCAATTGGGCACTGCCCTATGGGACTCCCAATCACGGCTGGTTGTGATACAGCCTGGAATCGAACCAGGGGGTCTGTAGTGACGCCTCAAGTACTGAGATGCAGTGCCTTAGACCGCTGCGCCACTCGGGAGCCCAAAAGGTAAGTCATACTTGGCTCTTTTTGTCAATATAGCTGCCAGTATGCAGACGTTTGACACTTTGTACTGTTAAAAAGGTGTTCTCTAAGGAACTGAACCAGAGCCAGTCAGCTCTGGTGGGCATAGTGGCAAAAATACACTATTAAGGTTATTCTTACCACATTATCATGGCAGATTGATTTTTGTGTTCATTATTACCAGAGCATGTTTCAGTATGACATATAGCCTCTGCCTATGGTCTCTATTGTTGACCAATACTAGGAAGTGGTTCATTAAACATGGTTGAGTACGGGGAAAAGATACTTCCTAATACCAGTGTGATTAGTATTAGTCCTACACCTACTGTCCTCAAAGTCAATTCTGAGCTTCAGGAGAGGTGTCAGTTCCAGTAGATTGGCACTTGATCTAAACTTCCCTGTACTGGGTGAAATAATTCACTGCCTGCCCCCTGCACCCCAGCCTCCGCTCTCTTCAAAAAGGGCATTGTTTGGTTTATAGAGCCACGACCAGAATACTAATGAGACACTGAAGAGAAAATGAATCGATCAATACGATCACAATGAGGCATGAAAGGTCTGCTACCTTCAAGGCAAGTCGCCTGGAATCATAAATTCCTTGGCTGCCCAGTTCCCTTTCAACACAGAGACTCTGACTCGGACCCTGTGACATTACTCAGTCTTATTGATCCTAACACTTTTCAGTCTGTTAAACCAATACCACAGCTGACAGCTATCCTTTACAGTGCCCTAATGAACTGAAAAAATCAAAACGTTTAATTTTCTCCCAGGAACAGTGTTCCCCTTTCTGAGTCGCAGTCTGTCAATACACCTTGGAGAGAGATATCTAAACTTCATTAGGGCTTTTCCTTTACTCAATACCAAAAAAACTCTTCAAAAGGTAGGTGAGTTTTATTGCTTATAAGTTATTGCACTAATAAACAGGTTAAGTGTTGCAGTTAGAAGAACCGCTGTGGGATAACTCAATCACAGACACAGAGGAGGAGAGATAAATGGAGACAGAAGAGGAGAGAGAAAGGGGTGATGGAGGTGGTTGAGGTGGCAGGGGAGACATTGTTCCTTCCTGCATTGACAGCGTACTTACAGGCAACGGTAACTTTCTCTTCAGCGCATATCACCTCTGGGTATGTAGGTGACATTTTGGAGTATTTTAATTAGCACCAGGTTGTCCCCTTAGTGAATTAAGAGTGTTTCTGAGGAGAATGAAGTAGTTGGTATTTACTCCCAGTCAGTCAGACAGTGTGGCTTACCGTGCTATATCAGCAGTATGCCTGCATGTTCTTCTATTTCTCTCCTTTCATCATTCATTCATCGCCCTGGGGCTTGTGTGCCTTCTCTAAGTATGACACAATGACATGTCACCGTTGTCTTTGAGGCATTCCTCTCATTATGTTGTGTGAAGTCAAAGGAAAATTCAGTTGCAGCTTAAATAGCTGTATGGTGGGGGTCTACAAATTGTCAAATGCAGATTGTCCTGGATTGTTACTGGCCCCACCACCTACTAGATTTCTAAGCTTTCTGTTCAAACAGCAATGCATTCTCTTTAGAAACGTGTGTTTAGTTATTTTACTGACAACTTCCACAAGTGGAGAATAAAGTGAGATGTGCCCTACCCAAGCGCCAGTGTGTTACCTTTTGTTTTAATGTTGTGCTAGAATTGGAACATATCACAATAATTTGCAAATCAGTTACAAATTATGATACATTCACCATATGATTTGGCAAAATGTGCATAAATGTGCTTGGGATGGAGTCTTATGAAGACAAATATTGTCAATTTAAAGAGATGGATGTATGCTCAGCAGTAAACAAAGCAAATCGCTGAAATGCAAATGTTACAACTGGCTGCTCCAGCCCAGCCACTGCTGTCCTGCTGTGACTACAGCAAACAAATACCATGCTGATGTCTCTTCTGGGGTCTGGACTAGCATTAACCAAAACAGATAAATACAATAGATAAATAAATAACAGGGTTGATCACACCAATGGTACCATCAAGCAAAGCCATAAAGGCACAGAGTGTCAAGGCACAGAGAGAGCCATGTTTTCTGTGATTTGTGATGACTGGCACCTTCCATGTTCACTGAGATTTGTGATGTTTCACCACCGAGCAGAGACTTGTGGGTAATAGATTTTCCACCTTTGTTATTTCTTTGACATGTTTATGTACAATAGCAACATTATTCGTGATGACAGTACATCTGCTTGTTTACGATTTGGACTGATTGCCTAATAACTAGATGGAATTAACATATAGCGGCTCATTTCAAAGCTGTTTGCCACTATTTCAAACTCCGGAAATTACTCAGCATTTTATTTATGTAGCCTACTACTGTAGCCATATGGATTTGTATTTTGTCAAATCAAAATTGGTAATGTAGAATTTAAAGTAGAAGAATGAATAATAAGGCAGAGCTGATAAGATGCAGTCAACATTTGTTAGACAGCGGGGGATTTACAATCCCGATCCCTCGCATGCACGCTATAGGCTGATGGCTGCCTTTGAAACGGCCTTATTAAAGGGCTGTTAATGCATGGTCATGCAATTTAGTAAATTACAAGTCTGAGGATCGAAATTGGAGGTCTAGAGTCTTCAATCTTGCTCTGTGTTGCATTTCCTAATATCTTTATTGATCTACCGTTGGAAGCTTAATGTCATCATCTCAATTAGGAAGAACACACAGACATCTATGGGTCAGAGCCATCCATAGATATGGCACACGAAGGTTACAATGCTCTCATATTAATATCACGCCAGACTTAAAGACAAGGCCTTCGATGTTATATTCATAGCTACAGACCTTGAACGACCAATCTTTTGTTGCTCTCTGATCACTAGGTAAGGATCATCTAATGAGAAATGAATGAGAGGCTCCAAATCAAAGGTTTATTCAAAATCTAGAGTATCTTCAATGGTATGGTTTATTGATAATCTCAGTGAACATAGTAGGCAAATTTGACCTGATTGATATCTGGATCTACAATGGACATATTGACAGAAACAAGGTTGTAACAAAGTAACACTTTCTCTTGATCAAATACCAATATTCAGCTACACTTGACACAGGCCATATAGAGTAACTACCAGTGTAATAATATATGTAACTACACTGTCCTGTACACTAGTAAGTCCATGCAGTTATGGAGTAGGCCTACTTGGTGCTGTATGGCTCAGTTGGTAGAGCATGGCGCTTGCACCGCCAGGGTTTTGGGTTCGATTTCCGGGGCCACCCATTAGTACAATGTATGCACGCATTAGTTAAATTGCTTTGTATAAAAGCATCTGCTAAATGGCATATATTACTTACAGTGTCACTTTGGCACTGCACTGTTTTGTATTTTCTTGGAAACAGTGGGAAGTATTATGTAACTATCACTACTGATGTACCTACTTGGTACATGGTATTTGTCATACTCTGGAATAAAGGCTAAACAAGACCAATAGCTACATAATGTATTGTTACGTAACAGTCTATCTGTCCTTTTCTGCTTGTCTCTTAGTCCAAATACTGCTTCTTACAGTTTCAATGGGACAAGGACAAGAACACAACCAGGGACATCATGCACCCCAAAAATCTGAGGGTGCACAAAGTACATGAGGATGGCTGGGGGTGGTCCGGAGGAGGGATAGTCCCCCCGTCCGGAAGTTGGTAGATTTCAGAATGTTTTTAAAACACCTGAAACAGCTTTTCCCTGCAATCTAAAGCCATAATCATTATGCTTAATTCTATGTAAAAAATATGTATATTTTTCTGCATATCTAAGCATACCTCACATATAGACACACTTTCACACGCTTCACACATGCTGCTGCTTCTCTGTTTATTATCTATGCTGATTGCCTAGTCACTTTTACCCCTACCTGTACATATTACCTCAATCACCTCAACTACCTCGTACTCCCAGCAAAATGACTCAGTACCGGTACTCCTTGTATATAGCCTCGTTATTGTGATTATATTGTGTTACTTTTTCATTTTTTTGTGTGCTAATTTTCTTACTTTTTAACTCTGCATTCTTGGGAAAGGGCTCGTAAGTAAGCATTTCACAGTAAAGTCTACACTTGTTGTATTTGGCGCATGTGACAAATAACATTTGATTTGATTTTACGTCTGTATCCTCTTGACGGGTGGTTATTTTTTTAAAAGAAACTAAATATGTTTCTCTGCATCTCTGCTAAAATCTGGGTAAAATATTGAAAGGAATGTGAGTCTTATTTATTACATTTAGTAATTGCTTGCTTTTCTAAAGTCTACCAACCTTGCCAGCCAGCATTCCAGCTAAGATAGTTAGACAAGCTAGCTACTCTAACTTGATTGATAGCCTGAAATGGCTTCTTGGTAGCTAGTTATGAGGTTGGGAGGTTGGGAACCTATCTGGTATAGCTTAAGCCAACTTCATAAAATTGCTAGGTGGCTAGTAGTATTACAAAGAAACAACAACAACAAATTAAACAAACAAAAAATCTATATATTTTTAAACAGGACAAATCTGAGGGGGCACGTGCCCCAGTGCCCCCTATGGGCATGACACCTCTGAACACAACCATTTTGACAGCTACAGTACAAAAACAACATCATTATACAAATCCAACTACCATTATACAGTGAGCACCATAATTCATTGGACATTGACCATTCTTTTGTTTTTTTGGTTCTGTACTCTAGCACTTTGAGTTTGAAAGGATACAATGACAATGAGGGTGAGGGTGAAGTGCAGACTGTCAGTTTTAATTTGAGGGTATTTTCATACATATCGGATGAACCGTTTAGAAATGACAGCACCTTTTGTACATGGTCCCCCCATTTTAAGGTATTACAAGTATTTGTTAAATTGGCTTCACAGATGTGTGTCGTTAGGCAGGTGTATTCATTTGTGTCGTTAGTGAATGCAGGAGAGCTGTTGATGAATAGTATTGATTCTAGACTTTGCTATTGCCTTTGGAGGTTGTTGTTGGGGTGTGACAACATGAGGAAGACAGCAGTGTCGATGAAAATGAAGCTGGCCGTCATAAGGCTCAGAAATGAAAATCAATCAATCAGGAACATTGCAAAAACCCTGGCCATGCCCAAGTCAACAGTTTGGTTCATCATTAACAACAAAAAAACAACTCAATTATGTCAAAAGACCCGGTAGCCGAGGAAGACCCCTGTAGTGGAATACTCTCTATGGTGAAGAAAACCCCCTGACAACAGCCCAACAGATCAAAAACACTCTCCTGGATGCAGGTGTAGATGTGTCAAAGTCTACCATACGTAGAAGACTACACCAGCAGGACTACAGAGGGAACACTACAAGATGCAAACCACTGATAAGCCTGAAGAACAGAAAGGCGAGATTACAGTTTGCTAAAAAGCACCTAAAAGAGCCCCAAGAGTTCTGGAAAAAAGTATTGTGGACAGATGAGACAAAGATTAACATGTACCAGAGTGATGGAAAGAGGAAAGTGTGGAGAAAAAAAATAAATGCCCATGATCCAAAGCATACCACCTCATCCGTGAAACATGGTGGAGGGGGTGTTATGGCTTGGGCCTGTATGGCTGCCAGTGGAACAGGCTCACTTGTCTTCATCGATGATGTGACTGCAGACAGAAGTAGAACAATGAATTCTGAAGTCTACAGAAATATTTTATCTAATCAGATAAAACCAAATGCCTCCAAACTCATTGAACGGCACTTCATCATGCAACAAGACAATGACCCTAAACACACTGCTAGAGCAACGAAGGGGTTTTTGATGGCCAAAAAGTGGAAAATCCTTGACTGGCCGAGTCAATCACCGGATCTGAATCCAATTGAACATGCATTTTACATGCTGAAGAGGAGACTGAAGGCAATTATCTCCGAAACAAGCAGGAACTGAAGATGGCTGCAGTACAGGCCTGGCAGAGTATCACCAGGGAAGATACCCAGCGTCTGGTGATGTCGATACATCGCAGACGTCAAGCAGTCATTGCATGCAAAGGATATGCGACCAAATATTAACAATGATTACTTTATTCTACATTATGTTAAACTGTCCAATGTTTTTTGATGCCCGAAAATGGGGGGGACCATGTACAAAAGCTTCTATAATTTCTAAACGGTTCATCCGATATGTATGAAAATACCCTCAAATTAAAGCTGACAGTCTGCACTTCACCCTCATTGTCATTGTATCCTTTCAAACTCAAAGTGCTAGAGTACAGAAACAAAATAACAAACAAAAAAATGTCACTGTCCAATGAATTATGGTATGTTTAATGGGTTTCAAAACCTTGAAAAATGATTAGCCTCTGATAGAACTTAAGGAATGTTTGCTTCATTTATCTTACAGACAAGTGGAAACGTTATGCTGTCTGATATTGTACTGTACTGAATTGTTCAGTAAAATATAGAGATAGATAATATAGATAGGGAGAAATACCCGACTTACCAATGACATATGCAAGCAGGAGGGCGAGGGTTATGGTGATAGCGGTGGCACTTAATGCGGTGCATTTCCAGTTGCAGCACTTGTAGGGCTTGTTGAAAGTGAACATGGGTCTGGAGAAGGTGCTCCTGGGTAGGGGCCGTGGGGGTGGGGAGTACACTGTGTTAGATGTCAGAGGGTAGTTCTGACTGGCAGCGCTGAACAGGGCAGAGGAGCCTGAGCCATGTTTGAACAGGAAATGCCTGCAACACAACAACACAAGAGGTTGACATTGATGAGAATATACACATACATTACCATACATGACCATTTCATTGTAACACAATTACACAGTTATGTTTGAACATTTACACCTTTTAATTTGCGCACAAATACAAACAGTGTAGATATGACATGAATAAATATGCACAGATTAAGACATTTCTAATCTGTGTAGTACTTAAATAGGATACAGAACATAATATACTTCTGTTAGTTACTTGTGTAGTTCGGTCTAAGTTATTGGTAAACTGCTACAAATGCACATAATTAAAATCAATCTCAGAATGCAATCCCATTTCCCTCCATGACCAAATGATATAAATCCTACATCTAATTAATGAATGCTCCCAACAGGCAAACTGCCTTAATATGTTTGCACCAGACATGCATTGGAAGTTCACTCCAGAGAGAGAGAGAGAGAGAGAGAGAGTGTCTAAGACCAACATTTATTATTACATTCTCACACCTGACAGTGACGCTGAATGCTGTGCTCACATGGATTTATGCTAATGCAGAATGGTGGCCAATTCCTCCTCACTGTGAACTTGACCTTGCAACCACTGCCTTTATCTAACAAGCTGTAGGCGGCAGTGTGCAGGGAGGGAATAGACCGACCGGCGGAACAGAAGAACACAAGGAAGGGGAAAAAATAACCCTCATTGCTCAGGTCCCTAATTAGAAAAGGTTTTAATACCATTAGCCGCTATCTTTAATGTGTTCAATTAAATATGTGAGAGTACAAAGGTCAGTTTTAGAGAAGATTATATCACAGGGCTTAATTGCTGGGCCAATTTTCACAGACAGCGTAATTAAGTTTAAGTATGGTTCACAAAGGGATACAGTTATCTGAGGCATGTTTGTTTTTGTTGTCCAAGCCACTATAAACGCAGCATCCTGTGGTATTGGGTAATCCTCCTCACGGTCTGCAGCAACATTCATGAAAACTTCTGAATTGTATTGTTCAGTTATGGACCGTGGACATCCAGCGCTGAGCTCAACACTGTCTGGGATATTGAGGCAACATTATGTTGTAGTGCTGCTGCTGACACTTGAAAAATGCATTATTAAGGGCAAAAAAATGGTCAATAGAGGACCAATCAATTCCTGTCTGTGTGTAATTTAAGGAAATTAGGAAGAATATGCTTTTGGTCTTGAATATGGTCATTATGCTGATGTGACAGAAATATGTAATTGCATTGATGTTGGGTCAGTGCCATATCATCAGTGTCTGAATTCTCAACAGTGTATCGACTTGGCTGATATCATTAAGGCAAAATAAAATAACTGCTTTTTATCTCATACTTCGTGATGGTTTGAGGAAGGCGTTCAGGAGGAGGAATTCTACCCTAAACAAAAAAGGGTTCCAAAAGTGTTCTTTGCGGAGCAATAGGGTTCTACCCTATTGATCTGATAAAATCAAATCAAATTGTATTTGTCACATACACATGTTTAGCAGATATATTATAGCGGGTGTAGCGAAATGCTTGTGCTTCTAGCTCCGACAGTGCAGTAATATTTAACAAGTAATATCTAACAATTTCACAACATATACCCAATACACACAAAACTAGTAAGGAATGGGATTGAAGTATATATACATATATGGACAAGCAATGACAGAGCGGCATGGACTAAAATACAGTAGAATATTATAGAATAGAATGCAGTATATACATATGAGATGAGTAGTGCAAGATATGTAAACATTATTAAAGTGACTAGTGTTCCATTTCTTAAAGGCCAGTGATTTCAATAGGCAGCAGCAGCCTCTAATGTGCTAGTGATGGCTATTTAACAGTCTGATGGCCTTGAGATAGAAGCTGTTTTCATTCTCTCGGTCCCAGCTTTGATGCACCTGTACTGACCTCGCCTTCTGGATGATAGCGGGGTGAACAGGCGGTGGCTCGGGTGGTTGATGTCCTTGATGATCTTTTTGGCATTCCTGTGACATCGAGTGCTGTATGTGTCTTGGAGGGCGGGTAGTTTGCCCCTGGTAATGCGTTCGGCAGACCGCACCACCCTCTGGAGAGCCCTGCGGTTGCGGGCGGTGCAGTTGCCGTACCAGGCGGTGATACAGCCCGACAGGATGCTCTCAATTGTGCATCTGTAAATGTTTGTGAGGGTTTTAAGTGCTAATCCGAATTTCTTTAGCCTCCTGAAGTTGAAGAGGCTCTGTTGCGCCTTCTTCACCACACTGTCTGTGTGGGTGGACCGTTTCAGTTTGTCGGTGATGTGTACGCCAAGGAACTCTAAGCTTTCCACCTTCTCCACTGCGGTCCCGTCGATGTGGATAGGGGGGTGCACCCTCTGCTGTTTCCTGAAGTCCACGATCATCTCCTTTGTTTTGTTGATGTTGAGTGAGAGGTTATTTTCATGGCACCACACTCCCAGAGCCCTCACCTCCTCCCTGTAGGCGGTCTCGTCATTGTTGGTAATCAAGCCTACTACTGTTGTGTAGTCTGCAAACTTGATGATTGAGTTGGAGGCGTGCTTGGCCACGCAGTCATGGGTGAACAGAGGGTACAGGAGGGGGCTGACCACGCACCCTTGTGGGGCCCCAGTGTTGAGGATCAGCGAAGTGGAGATGTTGTTTCCTACCTTCACCACCTGGGGGCGGCCCGTCAGGAATTCCAGGACCCAGTTGCACAGGGCGGGGTTCAAACCCAGGGCCTCGAGCTTAATGATGAGCTTGGAGGGTACTATGGTGTTGAATGCTGAGCTATAGTCAATGAACAGCATTCTTACATAGGTATTCCTCTTGTCCAGATGGGATAGGGCAGTGTGCAGTGTGATGGCGATTGCATCGTTTGTGGATCTATTGGGGCGGTAAGCAAATTAAAGTGGGTCTAGGGTGACAGGTAAGGTAGAGGTGATATGATCCTTGACTAGTCTCTTAAAGCACTTCATGATGACAGAGGTGAGTGCTACAGGGCGATAGTCATTTAGTTCAGTTACCTTTGCTTTCTTGGGTCCAGGAACAATGGTGGCAATCTTGAAGCATGTGGGAACAGCAGACTGGGAAAGGGAGAGATTGAATATGTCCATAAACACACCAGCCAGCTGGTCTGTGCATGCTCTGAGGACGCGGCTAGGGATGCCGTCTGGGCCGGCAGCCTTGCGGGGGTTAACATGCTTAAATGTCTTAATCACGTCGGCCATGGAGAAGGAGAGGCCACAGTCCTTGGTAGTGGGCCTCGTCAGTGGCACTGTGTTATCCTCAAAGCGGGCGAAGAAGGTGTTTAGCTTGTCTGGAAGCGAGACGTCGGTGTCGGCGATGTGGCTGGTTTTCCTTTTGTAGTCTGTGATTGTCTGTAGACCCTGCTACAAACATCTCATGTCTGAGCCGTTGAATTGCGACTCCACTTTGTCTCTATACTGATGTTTTGCTAGTTTAATTGCCTTGCGGAGTGAGTAGCTACACTGTTTGTATTTTGCCATATTCCCAGTCACCTTGCCATGGTTGAATGCGGGTTCTACCTAGAACCTTTAACATCCTAAGAACCGTTTTTGGAAGATAGGGTTCTTTGATTATTATTTGGAAGGCAAGAAGGATTCTTTGGAAGGCAAGAAGGGTTCTACATAGAACCATATATAATATTTCCCAGCATGCTCTATTGCAGGGAGATTTTCAGAATGGTTTGTTTTAATGTAATATCTGTGTTTTTGCATGTACATTGATTGGTTGATTAATTGTATGGTACACAAAGATAAATAACATACTGTTTTCTAAACTAATCCAAGCAGCTAGTAATTGGATTTATTGCACCCGTTACTGAGATGGTTGTTCCAGTTGAAATTATTGAGGTTGTCTCAGTATTCAACCTTCCCTACCCTGGCAGTCATTCTGAATGTAGGTTGCGGGTGATTAACAATTCCACTTGTTGGATATCCTAACTCTGTCTGGATTCCAATAGGAATTATATATAACTTTGAAAGCCAGCATAATGTGACTTGCAGGCCTGATGTGGCCTGTAAACCAGGAGATTCCTATAACCACTGTGTTAGGGTATAACCAGGCCCTCAAATATGATATACAGTGCATTCGGAAAGTATTCAGACCTTTTGACTTTTTCCACATTTTTTTACGTTACAGCCTTATTCGAAAATTGATTATCTACACACAATACCCCATAACGACAAAGCAAAAACACGTTTTTAGATGTTTTAGCAAAAAAACAGAAATATCACATTTACATACTGTAAGTATTCAGACCCTTTACTCAGCGATTACAGCCTCAGGTCTTCTTGGGTATGAGGCTACAAGCTTGGCACGCCTGTATTTAGGGATTTTCTCCCATTCTTCTCTGCAGATCCTCTCAAGCTCTGTCAGGTTGGATGGGGAGCGTCGCTGCACAGCTATTTTCAGGTCCCTCCAGAGATGTTCGATCGGGTTCTGGCTGGACCACTCAAGGACATTCAGAAACTTGTGCCGAAGCCACTCCTGCATTGTCTTGGCTGTGTGCTTAGGGTCGTTGTCCTGTTGCAAGGTGAACCTTCGCCCCAGTCTGAGGTCCTGAGCACTCTGGAGCAGGTTTTCATCAAGGATCTCTCTATACTTTGCTCCGTTCATCTTTTCCTCGATCCTGACTAGTCTCCCAGTCCCTGCCGCTGAAAAACATCCCCACAGCATGATGCTGCCACCACCATGCTCCACCGTAGGGATGGTGCCAGGTTTCCTCCAGATGTGATGCTTGGCATTCAGGCCAAAGAGTTCAATCTTGGTTTCATCAGACCAGATAATCTTGTTTCTCATGGTCCGAGAGTCCTTTAGGTGCCTTTCGGCAAACTCCAAGCAGGCTGTCATGTGCCTTTTACTGAGATGTGGCTTCTGACTGGCCACTCTACCATAAAGGCCTGATTGGTGGAGTGCTGCAGAGATGGTTGTCCTTCTGGAAGGTTCTCCCATCTCCACAGAGGAACTCTGGAGCTCTGTCAGAGTGACCATCAGGTTCTTGGTCACCTCCCTGACCAAGGCCCTTCTCCCCCGATTGCTCAGTTTGACCGGGCGGCCAGATCTAGGAAGAGTCTTGGTGGTTCCAAACTTCTTCCATTTAAGAATGATGGAACCCACTGAGTTCTTGGGGAACTTCAATGCTGCAGACATTTTTTGGTACCGTTCCCCAGATCTGTGCCTTGACACAACCCTGTCTCAGCGCTCTAGGGACAATTCCATTGACCTCATGGCTTGGTTTTTGCTCTGACATGCACTGTCAACTGTGGGACCTTATATAGACAGGTGTGTGCCTTTCCAAATCATGTCCAATCAATTGAATTTACCACAGGTGGACTCCAATCAAGTTGTAGAAACATCTCAAGGATGACCAATGGAAACAGGATGCACCTGAGCTCAATTTCGAGTCTCATAGCAAAGGGTCTGAATACTTATGTAAATAAGGTATTTCTGTTTTTTATTTTTTATAAATTAGCATTTTAGAATAAGGCTGTAACGTAACAAAATGTGGAAAAAGTTAAGGGGTCTGAATACTTTCCGAATGCAATATATGTAATGTATTGTCATATATAATTAAAATATAAAGGCTAATACCCATTCATAGAGGGCTCTAGGAAGAACCCTCCAAAGATAAAAGGGTTCTCGGTAGAACCCTTCATAGACGGTTCTAGGAAGAACCTTTAGATGACAAAATAGTTATAGGCAGAACCCTTCATAGAGGGTTCTAGGTAGAACCATAGTGTTTTTTTTAAAGAACCCTCCATAGAGGGATCCAGCACCAAAAATGGATCCCCTATGGGGACAAACCAAAGAACCCTGTATGGTTCTATTTAGCACCTTTTTTCTAAGAGTGTAAGTTATTGGATCATAAAGATACAAGATGTCTGTAATGATGATCTGGGGATCACTCTATTGATCACTGATCTTTACCATTGATTGGCTTTCTTCTGTCGCCTCTATTTCCCATTTATGAGACCATATATTATGTTAAACCACCATTTTGTGGAGATACAGTGGGTTGGCTCCTCATAATATCCCTCTGAAGGTGTTTGTGGAGGTGGGTGATACTGAGAACCTAATTGCTAGTCATTTTAGCGGTCTGAAAAACACTTGATGCTACAGTATACTAATTAATTGGAAGGCAGCTATGTTTAATTGGTAATGTCTGCCAGTGAGAGTTGACAACACAGAAATCTAAAATCAACTAAAATATGTATAATCTCTGGTAAATATTCAAGTGTGGTGATGTTATTGATCGGCCATCACGTCAAACCTTTAATTTAATTAGAATTGACAATGATAAGATATACAATACCAGAGGAAGTATTGGATAGCAATTTGATGATCTACATGAATGCTGGCATTGTATTAGGTTTGAATATCGACCACAGGTTAATCAACAAGGTTAATTTAGGTGTGAACAGAAAGTCAGCACAGCCACATCAGGCATGGTGACATTCTCATCCTCTGTGCTGAGTGGGTGACCTCTACATATAGGGAGGATCTACCTACTCCATCAAATTTGATTGAGATGTTCAAGTACCACTACCCCACCTGCAAACCTAATTGTGTTCATTTGTCATTGTTGTCACTGTTGTATATTACATACAGTGCCTTCAGAAAGTATTCATGCCCCTTGACTTATTCCACATTTTGTTGTGTTACAGCCTGAATTCAAAATGGATTAAATGGATTTTTGTCTCTCACCATGTTTTAAGAAATGTTTGCAAACTTATAAAAAATGAAATACAGAAATATATCATTTACATAAGTATTCACACCCCTTTGCTATGACACTCCAAATTGAGCTCAGGTGCATCCAATTTCCTTTGATCATCCTTGAGATGTCACAACAACTTGATTGGAGTACACCTGTGACTATGAAGTCCAAGGAACTGTCTGTAGATCTCCGAGATAGAATTGTGATGAGGCATATACAGTGCCTTCAGAAAGTATTCACACCCCTTGACTTTTTCAAAATGTTGATGTGTTACAGCCTGAATTTAAAATGGATAAATTGAGATTTTTATTGTCACTGGCCTACACACAATACCCCATAATGTCAAACTACAATGATGTTTTTCAAAATGTTTACAAATGAAAAATGAAAAGCTGAAATGTCTTGAGTCAATAAGTATTCAACCCCTTTGTTATGGCAAGCCTAAATACGTTCAGGAGTAAAGGTTTGCTTAACAAGTCACATAATAAGTTGTATGGACTCACTCTGTGTGCAATAATAGTGTTTAACATGATTTTTGAATGACTACCTCATCTGTACCACACACATAAAATTATCTGTAAGGTCCCTCAGTCGAGCAGTGAATTTCAAACACAGATTCAACCACAAAGACCAGGTAGGTTTTCCAATGCCTCGCAAAGGGCACCTATTGGTAGATGGGTAAAAGTAAAAAAGCAGACATTGAATATCCCTTTGAGCATGGTGAAGTTATTAATTACACTTCGGATGGAGTTCAATACACCCAGTCACTACAAAAATACAGGTGTCCTTCCTAACTCAGTTGCCGGAGAGGAAGGACACCGCTCCGGGTTTTCATCGTGAGGCCAATGGTGACTTTAAAACAGTTCCAATGTTTCATGGCTGTGATAGGAAAAAACTGAGGATGGATGAAGAACATTGTAGTTACTCCACAATACTAACCTAATTGTCAGAGTGAAAAGAAGGAAACCTGTACAGAATACAAATATTCCAAAACATGCATCCTGTTTGCAACAAGACACTAAAGTAATACTGCAAAAAATTTGGCAAAGAAATGTACTTTTTGTCCTGAATACAAAATGCTATGTTTGGGGCAAATCCAGTACAACACATTACTGAGTACCACTCTCCATATTTGCAAGAATAGTGGTGGCTGCATCATGTTATGGGTATGCTTGTAATTGTTAAGGACTGGGGAGTATTTCAGGATAAAAATAAATGGAATGGCAGCACAGGCAAAATCCTAGAGGAAAACCTGGTTCAGTCTGCTTTCCACCAGACACTGGGAGATGAATTCACATTTCAGCAGGATAGTAACCTAAAACTCAAGGCCAAATCTACACTGGAGTTGCTTACCAAGAAGACAGTGAATGCTCCTGAGTGGCGAGTTACTGTTTTGTCTTAAATCTGCTTGAAAATCTATGGCAAGACTTGGAAATAGTTGTCTAGCAATGTTCAACAACCAATTTGACAGAGCTTGAAGAATTTTGAAAAGAATAATGGGCAAATATTGTACAATCCAGTTGTGCAAAGCTCTTAGAGACTTACCCAGAAAGACTCACAGCTGTAATCGCTGTCAAAGGTGATTCTAACATGTATTGACTCATGGGTGTGAATACTTATGTAAATGTATTTCATTTTCCAAGAAATCTGCAAAAATGTCTAAAAACTTTTCACTTTGTCATTATGGGGTATTGTGTGTAGATGGGTGAGAAGAAAAATCAATGTAATCAATTTTGAATTCAGGCTGTAACACAACGAAGTGTGGAATAAGTCAAGGGGTATGAATACTTTCTGAAGGCACTGTACACCTATTGGTCATTATGGATGTTTTGAATACAATGCGTGGGGGAGAAAACATACCTAAGGTAGGCCCTTGTTTTCTTCTATGATGTAGTCTTCTCCCTACTGATGCTGATAACGCACGTTTCATATGTCTTTCTCTGAAGACGACATGTCAACTTCTTTTAGTCAACAAAAATAAGTTGTTTACCTCTGATAGGATTGCTTATTTTCAATTTAAAAGACATTTATGAAGCACCAAGCACTGGTGGGTTTACCAAACAATGGGGAAACAGACAAATATGCCAGCGACTCATACACTAAGATGAACATGTCGGCTCGTCCTTTCCCTTGCCACATTTCACATTTCATGGACAACCCTTTGAGCAAAAACCAATCTCAAAACGCAGAGAGCATAATTGTCAATCTTGACAAAGGCTCTCTACTTCATCATTAATTTACTTATCCATAGTTTTCTTGTCATAGTGGTCCCTCTTTGCATGTTAAAACCTAAAGATAAACAAGACTCATCATTAATAACAAGCAGGAAATTATTTGATTGAAGGATAGAAATTAAGGATAGAACATTTACCTGGTTGCTTTTGGTCTACAGTAATTGATTTAGCCATTTTCTAATCATAAAGCATATAGAGCTCAGCTCATTTTAAGTTAATGGAGTTTTTCCACGTCTGGACTACCCACAATGGCATTCTCCATTATACTAAATCTAAAGTATTTTAATTAGGCATTTCTCTATTTTCAACTGTGGAAAAACAGTGAATTAGACAGTGTGACATCATTGTTTGGCAACCCTTTTCAATTTCACCTTCGACCCAACACAGCTGTTGGCGGCCATCACTTCTTCCTTTGATTTCCTATCAATAAGTAGTCTAGCTACTAACCTGTCACAGTCTGTTCTGTTTCAACTACTTTCATCTCCCATACTCTAACAGAACAAAGCTATGAAAGAGACACTAATTATCTCATCTGGCAGGCTGGTTTTCAAGCAGGACAAAGATAATTCATTCCAAGTTCATAAGCTCAAAGGGATAAAGGTCACATTTCAGTCTCTTGGAATTCACAAAAATTATTACATTATTAAAAGAAAAGAGCATTCATAAAGGGTGACCGTTTGAAATGGTTTTCCCTTTGGATGTCCATTTAAAAACGAATAATCCTCTTTCATTAATGACTCACACACCAGTCAGTTGTAGACAACCTTCCTTTTACTAACTACAGTAGCTATTTTACTATTCACATCTGACACAACATTTCTTTAAATGCTAATTGTGAACTCAACAGTCTTTTTGCTGTTAAATCGATGATTCGCTTTGTAAAGGCCTTGATCTTCAGTATTTTCAAAACCATGTATCTATTTATGTTGGATTTGTACACCACTTAACTTCTCAAAAGCCTTAGCCCTGAATCTCTTCAAAATGATATTATTTAGTTACACACCGCCAACCCCTCATTATGAATTAACACCATTATTCATCTCTCTATCAAGTGTGAATCATTAAAGATGTGTGAGAGGTCAGTGACTGAAGTCACAGGGATCCTCTCTGCAACACTTCACTAATGCCAACAACATGTTCATTCAATCTACTTTTCTCAAAGCTAGCGCAATTTTTTGGATCCAAGTTACCGGTGGTGTCACAGTGATTAAGAACACAGAGGGAAAGAGGCCAAGAGCCCTGCATGACTCATACTGGGGAAACTATGGCCACAGAGCTGTTAAAGTGTCTGCCACACTGAACTGACCCCATTACTAGGCAGGTGAGAGTGGAGGTGCCAAGGCTTACCTGGTCTCCAGGGGGATGTTGCTGTTGAGTGCCCAGCTGTTGTGGAGCTGGCCTCTGTCTCTGTCGGCCGGCTGAGTGGGATCTACATCCATCGCCTGGCTCCGAGCCGGCAGGGTGTTCCTCTGCAGTGGCTCAGAAACGTGAGTGTGAGGGGCCGGGCGGGCACATGTGCACGCGTGAGGAGGGGGTGGGGGCGGAGGTAGGGGTCTGAAGGTAAACTGGGCTGGTGGACTGCTGGGAAGCTCTGCGGAGAGAAAGAGAGAGAAAGCGTGAGAGAAAACGTGAGCGAAAGTAAGAGAGAAAGCGAGAAAGAGTTGAGTCTTTTCTGAGTGGCTTGATAAGTGTCTGAGAGTTTTGTGACATTTAGTAAGTACTTTGTTAACGTTCACTTTTCCTCCACTTGGAAAGAGCCTTGGGGATTTTTTCAGTTTAATTAGCACACTTAACAAGGTTATCATTCAAAAGTACAATCCACATTTTGAAAAATAGTTATGCAATAAAATCGACAGATGAACATACATTTTCCTGAGAGTGTTAAGGCACCCCAGATGCTATGATAAATGACAAGCCTGTTGCTAATGAAATAAAGATGATTAGACATAAGGGCATAAGGATTGTAACCCTAGAAACCAAATTGGTTTCGTCCTGCATTATTACGTTGTTGTTTTTCCTCTATAAAGAGCACACAACTCCTGAGTCACCCTGAGCAATCTAACGTATGAGTCTGTGTTTGAGTTCAGTGGCTCAGCAAAGAGAGCTGTCTTTCATGCCCCTGCAGTGTGACAGCTGAGTTTAGTCAAGTACATCCAGACTGAAGTCTACCAGACATTTTCTCCTGCTGCAACATCACAGAGGCATGAATTCACTGCAGCTAGGAGTGAGTCCCTGTCTATTGACCACACCTGTAGTGTCTTCACACCACAGAACGTGCAACTGGCAGACTTTAGTGTAGGAGCTTTATAATCTAATTCCTTTATAAAGCCTCTTATTCTACCCCACAGGCCCAACCAATTGGGCCTTTCAGAATCAAATTAAAAGTTTCAGTTTCAAGTTTTATTAGTCGTATGTACAGGATACACATGGTATACAACGTCCAACAAAATGCTTACTTGCAGGTTCCTTCTCGACAATGCAACAACAATTAGAAATAATAAAAGATAAGAATACGAACATAAAGAAAATGTCTTAGTAGAATAGAATAAACATTTAAGCATAACTATAATACAGGAAGGCCAATTTATAGTACAATATTTACACATGCATCAGGGAAGGAGGGATTGGGGGCAAGTGTTTAAATTGTGCAGTATTAGCAATAGTAAATAAGAGTCTGGTGGCAGCAGTTGTGATGTGTGTGTATGTATGTGTGTGTGTGTGTGTGTGTGTGTGTGTGTGTCAGTGTAAGTGACACTCTTACTTAGATTTAGTCTAGTCTTAGTCATTTTGACTAAAATATAATTAAGTCACATGTTTGTCATTTGAATAATGATTTAATCTAGTTATTGTCAGAATGACGAAAATAGTGGGCCATTTTTGTCAACTTAATGCCCTTTCATTTTACTCACATTTGAGTATTGCCTCATTAACCTATAGTAAACATAAATCACTGACTTCAATGTGCACAAACATACATAGCCTTGTCCTACCACCATATTGCTCTGCATAACATCATATTCTCCTCCCAACTGCAGAAATATGACAAACATATATAAGAAATAATATTATATTATATAAGAATTATCTGGTCATGTAAATTCCTAATTCAGACTACATAGATACTGCACATTACATACAAAACAAACAGACACACAAGCACAGAGAGAGAGAGGGGCACAATCACCAGATGGTGCCGCAAAGTAGCCTAGTATGGGTTGCACCTCCGTCACTCGGTCTTGTCCTTGCCATTGTTATCAAGGTTCTACAGACGCCACAGTCACATTGATATCCAAAAGTAGAACGGTGGCTAATGAATATGAACGAGAGCTATTGACTGTTTCGCCCAGTGATGTAGTCGAGTCACTAAACATCGAGTCCCACGTCCCCTGTGCTGGAGTCAAGAGTCGTGTCACCAGTCCCTATGGCTGAAGTCCGAGTCCCAGTGCTCGAGTCCTGGTCCAAGTGCTCAAGTCTGAGTCCCTGGGTCCACATGAACTCAAAATAGAGTTAAATACCCAGTCAGATATAGTGTAGTGGCCAGAGGAATTTAGTCAAATTGTTTGCTATCCCTTTTCCTTTCTTTCTGTGCCAGCAAATGTTTTCATATAGGCTACTTACCAGGGCCACGTTCAGTTGAAAAACATTCTTGAACGTTGCAGATAGATCCATGAATAGAGCTGACGTTCTTCCTTATTCAACATGTCAGAGAGGCAGATGTTTGTTCTACATAGCATATTTCTATCTGAACGTTCCAAAACTTTGCGTCCTGCAGCTGCTGATTAGCAGGAGGGACGGGGCAACTTATTGTCGCATGCGGTGCTCAAGTTGAGAACGGCTGTCAGTCAAAAACCATACAGCGCTGTGAAGCGCAGAGCCTGAGGTCTGACGTCATTTATAGCATGTACAGCCACTGCGTTCCAATTTAGGCACTTATCAGTGGCCAAATCTGCCATTTTCAACCCGTATATGGGTTTGAGTGTAAAGGGCTACTACGGGTTTGAGTGTAAAGGGCTACTACGGGTTTGAGTGTAAAGGGCTACCATGGGTTTGAGTGTAAAGGGCTACCATGGGTTTGAGTGTAAAGGGCTACCATGGGTTTGAGTGTAAAGGGCTACCATGGGTTTGAGTGTAAAGGGCTACCATGGGTTTGAGTGTAAAGGGCTAGCACGGGTTTGAGTGTAAAGGGCTACTACGGGTTTGAGTGTAAAGGGCTACTACGGGTTTGAGTGTAAAGGGCTACTACGGGTTTGAGTGTAAAGGGCTACCATGGGTTTGCTTGTAAAGGGCTACTACGGGTTTGAGTGTAAAGGGCTACTACGGGTTTGAGTGTAAAGGGCTACTACGGGTTTGAGTGTAAAGGGCTACTACGGGTTTGAGTGTAAAGGGCTACTACGGGTTTGAGTGTAAAGGGCTACTACGCGTTTGAGTGTAAAGGGCTACTACGGGTTTGAGTGTAAAGGGCTACCATGGGTTTGAGTGTAAAGGGCTACCTCCAAAACTAGATAGTTGTGTGTTCTCTTCCCAGTTGTATACAGAGAGACTAATGACTAAGTCCTGCGTTTGGCCTAAGAGGTTGAATTGAATTGTATTGATTTTGTTTGTCTGTGTGATACGTTTTACTCCTGCTTATTATACATCAGCGTTTAGATGCCAAGGCTCACTTCTAAGGCATTATATAATAAATGCAGATTGGAGTCTGTACCTGCAGGAATCTGATAAGATCACTCCTCTCCATTGATCTACTGGCCATTCATTCTGTTTAAATGTTAAATTCCTCCATAATTTCCCTTTTCAGAGTATTGATATTTACCAGGTAACAATGTAAAGGAGACTGAAGAAAATGATCATAACATAATTCTGCAGGTTGGACTCCATCAGACAGGAGGAAATTATTAATTGTAGCATCCCACAGGGATGCTGGCCCACATTGACTCCAATGCTTCTCACAGTTGTGTCAAGTTGGCTGGATGTCATTTGAGTGGTGGACCATTGATCAGAAATAGAGTGTAGACATTGTTAATGTTGTAAATGGCTATTGTAGCTGGAAACGGCAGATTTTTAATGGAATATCTACATAGGCGTACAGGGGCCCATTATCAGCAACCATCAGTCCTGTGTTCCAATGGCACGTTGTGTTTGCTAATCCAAGTTTATCATTTTAAAAGGCTAATTGATCATTAGAAAACCCTTTTGCAATTATGTTAGCACAGCTGAAAACTGTTGTGCTGATTAAAGAAGCAATGCAACTGGCCTTCTTGAGACTAGTTGAGTATCTGGAGCATCAGCAATTTTGGGTTCGATTACAGGCTCAAAATTGCCAGAAACAAAGAACTTTCATCTGAAACTCGTCAGTCTATTCTTGTTCTGAGAAATGAAGGCTATTCTATGCGAGAAATTGCCAAGAAACTGAAGATCTCGTACAACGCTGTGTACTACTCCCTTCACAGAACAGTGCAAACTGGCTCTAACCAGAACAGAAAGAGGAGTGGGAGGCCCCAGTGCACAACTGAGCATGAGGACAAATACATTAGATTGTCTAGTTTGAGAAACAGGCGCTTCACAGGTCCTCAACTGGCAGCTTCATTAAATAGTACCCGCAAAACACCAGTCTCAATGTCAACAGTGAAGAGGTGACTCCGGGATGCTGACCTTCTAGGCAGAGTTGCAAAGAAAAAAACATATCTCAGACTACCCATCTTAATCTTTTCTTTTTATTGGCCAGTCTGAGATATGGCTAGAAGGTCAGCATCCTGGAGTCGCCTCTTCACTGTTGACGTTGAGACTGGTGTTTGCGGGTACTATTTAATTAAGCTTCCAGTTGAGGACCTGTGAGGCGTCTGTTTTTTTTTTCTCTTTCTGTTCTGGTTAGAGCCAGTTTGCACTGTTCTGTGAAGGGAGTAGTACACAGCGTTGTACGAGATCTTCAGTTTCTTGGCAATTTCTCGCATAGAATAGCCTTTATTTCTCAGAACAAGAATAGACTGACGAGTTTCAGAAGAAAGTTATTTGTTTCTGGCCATTTTGAGCCTGTAATTGATCCCACAATTGCTGATGCTCCAGATACTTGACTAGTCTCAAGAAGGCCAGTTTTATTGCTTCTTTAATCAGCACAACAGTTTTCAGCTGTGCTAACATAATTGCAAAAGGGTTTTTCTAATTATCAATTAGCCTTTTAAAATTATAAACTTGGATTAGCAAACACAACGTGCCATTGGAACACAGGACTGATGGTTGCTGATAATGGGCCTCTGTACGCCTATGTAGATATTCCATAAATAAAATCAGCCGTTTCGAGCTACAATAGCCATTTACAACATTAACAATGTCTACACTGTATTTCTGATCAATTTGATGTTATTTTAATGGACAAAAAAATAGCTTTTCTTTCGAAAACAAGGTGTAGGTACACTTCTGAAAGGTTCTTCAGAAAAGCTTTCATTTTGACATTGCTCTCTAATCATCCAGGAGCCCTTAACATGGCCTCAAGTTACCACACGTGTGGTGCTTTCAAGACAGAACCTCCATGGGATTGAAAGTGTCTTAAAAGTACACCTGACCTGCTGCAGACATACTCTATCCTTGACAAATGTAAATATACTGGGTCATACTTACACATGCATTATTAAGACTAGGCCATTCACTGATCCTGTCTTAGATAAGCTAGCTCCTCTAAGTGCTGCCTGACTGCAGCCAGCCAGAGCCTGACAATACACTGTAAAACAACAAAGAAGAGGAACATTAGAATGCATTTCCATGGCAGCTCCTTCCACTCTGCCAGCCTGCTTGGCAGTTGGCATAATTGGACTTTTCACAGGCACCCTTTCTTATAAGTACTTTATAATAACCCCATCACAGGCTCCTCAATCCAGAGAAGAGGTGGGACAACTTAATACTTTACAACATAATGGTACTAGAGAGAAGCTGCTGCAGTGTCTCGAAAAGAGGCCACATTTAATCAGAACCGCACTGCAGAATTTACACAGCAGTATAAACATCTTTCATGAGGGAGGCAGATAGCCTAGCGGTTAAAAGCGTTGGGCCAGTAACCGAAACGTCGCTGGTTCGAATCCCTGAGCCGACTAGATGAAAATTTTGCCGATGTGCCCTTGAACAAGGCACTTAACCCTAATTGCTCCTGTAAGTCGCTTTGGATATGAGAGTCTGCTAAATGACTAAAATGTTAGTCAAATAATATGGTTTCGATTGAAGGTGAACTATATGCCGTTATAAATCCACACTGAATAAAACAGATCTAGCTACATGAACAAGAACGCTGCAGGGTGGATTGAATCAGACCCAGTATAATTTTATATGAGAATTGGCCAGCGGGACATCAGACTACAGATCTGAGTGGAGATGCATTTTGGCTGCTGTGTCAGGAACACTGAGGTCTTAAGCTGACCCACTGAGACCCTGGTCCAGGCAAGAGAGTAGTTTTTGATGACCTTGGCTGCAGAGCACGTGTCTACAAGTGTTATTGCATCCCTGATGCCGCCCACTGCAGTGAGACGCACAAACAAACAAAAAGCAAATGGGAACTCTTTTCCCTTTAATTTTGTCCCTACAACACATCACCACGTCCACTTGCAATGTTAATAGATAACTGTTAATTTTGAACAACACAAATGCTTCTGATTTCAAATGGTGGAAAATGGAAATACGTGCAAAGGGCTCTTACTGTGTTACACATATTCTATTTCTAAAAGGGAACCCGAGTTGCGAGGGGAAGCACATTAGCTTCACCTGGAGAGGGGAGAGAGCATGTCTCAGTGTCTCACTAGACATGGGAGAGTACAGAACAAAAGGGCTGTCCCTGCAGTGCCCCTCACCCTGCTGCTTTCAAGTGCTGCACACAGTGCATTATGCATGGACTTCCTTACTATTGACATTTATACTTCAAAACTCACCATCCTATTGCACAGGGAGGGAGATGGGAATGGAGCTGTATAAGAGCAAGTAATGCTGGCATTTTCCGCAGACAAATCATTCCACTCTGTTTGAGTGTGTGTGTGTGTTTGTGTGAGAGTAGGGGTGAGAGTAGGGTGTGAGGTTCGGCACAGAACCTGACATTTAATAGAAATGCCTCTAAACATGTGGCCTATCAGAAAGTTTGAGACTCTGAGAGAGGCCTTAAATGAAAATTCTGTTGAGTGCAAAAGCTGGACTAGCCAGCTGAAGGTAGAGAGAGAGTGTAAATTGCCGTGGTGTACTTTATGTCATGTCCCTACATAAAGAAAGCACCAGCTACAGTGTGCATCTTTAAGTCGTTAACTTTGGGTAATTTTGTAGATTAAATGTAGTGTGTCCTGGTCTTACAGGGCTATAGATGAGTACTGTAATACTCCCTCTGGAAATTCATAATAACACACCATCTAGGATGATAATACTGTATATATTCCATTCATCACCTTTCATTATGATGTTGATGTGATGTTTATGTGACAGCAGACAAAATGGCACCTTTCCTTAACAGATCATAGCAGTATCAAGAAAAACATGATAGAAAAGTCAAATGTAATTCAGTTGAATACGACATAATAAACGTTTTATTTGTATTAACCCATCCACCACCAATATAATAAACTTAGCTTCATTGCACAACAACATATATGTGGCCTTTTTATCCATCTCCTCATCCTTATACATTGTAAGCTTTTGTTATAGCTTTATGATAGCTACAGTCATTATTGAACATTTCACAACTACAATTATCTTTTCAGGGGGTTTTTCAGCTACAGAACCACTTTTTAAAAATGTAACGTTAAGTACAAATGTGAATTGGTGTAATTCAACAATGGTGCACAATAAACCACAGGCACAAGCCACATAAGTGTAGCACTGGAGATTAAAGGGATACTGCAAGATTCTGGCAATTAAATGGATACTTCAGGATTTTGGCAATCAACCCCGTTATCTACTTCCCAGAGTCAGATGAACTCGTGGACACCATTTGTATGTTTCGCGAGCCATAGCACAATGACTGGAAGTCTACAGGTACAGGAGCACACGCTAGCATACATGTAGACTTCCAGTCATTGCGTTAACACTAGTTAGCAATAGCTCGCAAAACTACCTCTGAATTCCTTCATACTGCACACAGATACGTAAAAATGGTATCCATGAGTTCAGCCAGCAAACATATACAGTATCAGATTGGGACTTTTGCAAAACACGCTAGAAAGCTCTTAATGCCAAAGGCTTTAACACAATTTCTTTCACAGCAAGACCCTCTATTATTGAAATTGCTCTCGGCATATAGAAAGGTACATCAGCCAGCCACAATGAAAATGCCTGGTGTTGAGTAACACAGCAGAGTCTAAACACACACAGCACTCAGGCACTCCAGAAGAGCAGCTCCCTTTCCCCTACCCCTCAGAGGCTACTGCAATAAACTCCGAAAATAAAACCCCATGTATAATGTACTATCGCAATTACTTCCAAAGGTGGAGAATATGGAGTAGTCTATTCATCACACATCAACTATTTTAGCTTTTGGCGACAGTATATCTTGCACAATGACAATCAGTAATGCTCGTGAGGAGCATTTTCTTCTGCACAGTGCTCCCCATTGGCTTGGCTCCTTTCAGAAAACAAGCGGAACGCACCTGAAGGCTACATTGTGACTTATTCAATCTCTTCATTAATACATGTTGACTTTCAGCAGATGTCCTTCACAGCTCATAAACCTAGACATCCTCTCCAACATCTGATTAACCACCATATAGACACTGTGGATGATGACTTTTATGTATGTGTCCATATGGTAAAGGATCAATTAAGGTACATTAAAGTAAGACTCTTACCACTCTGTCAGAACCTCTCAGAGTGTTGACTGTGGATTGGAGGTTAAGTAACTCAATTTGACTCATGCCTATCCTGGGTGAGAGAAAGACATGAGGAAGGAAAAGGCCTGCTGTTTTAATAGACAGGCCAGGCAGGGTTGCATGTTTACTGAGCAGCAGCTTGATAAGAGCACTGTTGGTCTGTTTTAGACATAAAATAACTGAAATGGTCCACAAACCTGGGTAACCTCTCAGTCGACAGTATGTATTTGCCAACAGGGTCCTTATACTGTATGTCACTCTCAAGCACCTCTGCCAAGAAAATATGACTATCCTCTTCAGGCATAAATATATTTATTCTCTGGCATAGTTATGCGTGGTGGATAATACACAAGAGGAAGCAGAGACAAATACTCTCGTATTCCCCCAATTTGACCTTGCCTCTTCTAGCCTGGGCTTGAAAATGCATTTATTGTAGCCTGGTGCGTGAATGGAATCTTTAAGAGCTTTAAGATGATCCCACTGTAGAAAGTGCTACACAATTTTACACGCTACACAAGGGTAACGCCAATCCATGAGATTAAACACGTGACCCATCTTCTAGAATCATCTGGGGCACTTCATTCTATATAGACAATATGGCAACTTAACATTCTGGGGTTATACTTCAAAAATGATTTTTGTCATATTTGAATCATTGTGAACCATGACTTCGCTCAACAATATGGGGCTTTCACATGGAATCACTGAAAGCTAAAGAAAATGTCCAATGCAATTCATATAGAGAAATGCAGTTATAATGTAAACGGTTAAAGACAGATATTTTACGAAAGTCTTAGAAAAATCAGAAAAGTAATATTATCATTAAATAAGTATTTACTTTAATTTAAACCTGACTGTTTGTTTAAAGCCTAAAATAATGAGGACCAGTAGTGGTTCGCTGAATGCCTGACTCATGGCTTGGGCACGATGACATTGTTTAATGTGTTATAGTGCAACATGTCAAAAAATAATATATTAACAGAGGGAAATTGACATTAATTACTGAAATCAACATGTTTCACATATAGTAGCTATGGCAGGGATATTCACAGATGATCTGTGATTATGTATAATAGGGCCGCAGCACATACACCCATAGATCTCACAGCAAACTAACATCAGGTATTTTACTAAGAAAACGTGTGGCTCACATAATCTCTTTACTTAGGGACTTATTCTAAATGCAATAAAGACAATACAGAGGCATTGTTGTAATAATTGAGGTGAGAAAAATGAGTTCACTACCAGATGGTGCGTCGGTGATAGTGTCAACGCTTGCGGCTCGGGTATCGATCCTCTTTTATAAAACGACATACAAAGGTCAGAGTAAGTCTATCCATTTACCCTTAGTATGCTTTTACTGCATGGATAGATTGGCAGACACAGAGGCCATTGTGTGAAAGCCCAATTGACACGACTGGGTGTACCATGTTGTTCTGTGGCCAGTAAATTCTCCCTTCTCAGATTCATAGCCTCGTTTTATGGGCAACCCTTTCTTTATACTTATCTGAACTGGCATGCATTATTTATTGTGCCAGCTTATCTGGGCGGTACACCAAACCCTGCACTTTTCACACTTGAAAGAGAAGCAAGACTAGGATAGGAGGGAGGATCATAAAATCTGTCAACTGCAATGACACAAACCCTAACAAACCCTATCAAAGACCAATCTGAGTAATTAACAGGAATAATTCAAAACAATTAAAACTTCATGAGATTGATCCATAAATCTCTTTTGAGGAGCAT